AGATGAAGGAATACACATGTACACATCAAGACTGCATGTACTATTACTTTCACAAACTGGGGTAAAGTGTCTTGCCCAAGGACACAGCAACATCAGGCATCATACATTTCTAAACCATTTTCTGAACATTTAGCCTTACTTGCCAGGTGTCTAACCACCTCCCTTTGTGTGTCCTTGGGCAAGACACTTGGCCCACACCAGCCTCAGCCTCGTACTCTAGTGCGGTAATGTTTGGGTGAGGGATTTAAAGCTCTTTGTGACCATTTCACAATTTTAACCTGAAGTGAACAGTGGCATCTGGCAAATGTACTCCGACGTGTCATAGTTATAAATGTATACTATTATAATATACACCACTGATCATCAGGAGGCCCGCGGGTTGAATCCACGCCACCATGTCGTTGTTTTATTTATTTATTTTGGTACGTTGATGTTATTATCTTCTTTATTTTCTCTTTAATTCTCCTGTTTTGCAACATTTTTGTGAATTTCTTTTCAATAATAATATTAAACATCAATGACTCTTCTGGACACCCTGGTAAAGCCATGTTCCAGCTTCTTCCCTCTGGCAGTAAATGTTGTTCGCTGAGATGCAGGACATCTCGTTTTGCGAACAGCTTCTTTCCGCAAGCCTGTTATCAGTTGAAACAGAGTACTTTAAATCATTTTGCCTTTGTATTTAAACTTTTTAGTTGATTGATATACACATTTGAACCCTTCCCCAATAGATGTAAGATCAAAAGAAAATTATGTTCCCCTTTCTCGTCAAACCAATTTTGAAACCCAAACACACTTGTAAAAGATAGATAAAAGATAGAAAAATGTGCTAAAAGTTTTTTTAGTTAGTTGTTTCTTTATTAATTCATTACCTTTTTGCTTGCATTTCATTCAATTGTCTCTGATATGAAACTGTCATAAGTTAAGATAAGAGATCCTTCATTCATATTTCAATGTTGCAGCTCACGAATAGGACATTAAGAAACACACAATATATACATTATAACTAGCTGCTATGGTTTGACCAATCAGAGCTGCTGATCAGAGCGCATTTAGTGCGGAGTTAGAGCGGGAGACGATCAAGCGGAATTTGTTGCAAAGAACAAAAAAGTTCAGGATGACAAGGGACACTAAAATCCCCACAATATCTGACCTTCTATGAAAGCTGTAGGTTCTCTGTCAGCTGAGGTCGCGCTGTTTTAGGTTTTATTGAGTTCTATATGGAAAATTTCTGTGTAGCCCACGTGAATTTAGTCTTGTTTAGTTTAATCTGCAGCACCGTGAGAATCCCCCGAGCACGTGGGTCCTTCAGCTCCAAGCTAGTAATACCCTATCCCAGTGTTTTTCAACCACTGTGCCGCGGCACACTAGTGTGCCGTATGATATTGTCTGGTGTGCCGTGAGAAATTCGTCTACTTTGTCTAAAAATAACTGCATTCGCTGTTGACGAGCGGTGACTTGTTTTGAACTGTGAGTAACCATGTAATACTTTTTCAAATCAGTAGATGGCAGCAGATAGCTAAGTACTTTGAAACTGAAAAATTGGATGCGACCACTGGCTGTAACAGGTCAGCATTTTGGCGAGAAAGGTAAAATTGAATGCGACCAACAAATGTGGGAGGGAGCGAGACAAGAGCTTTGTGGCGAGTGAGAAGTGAAAGTGATAGAGACGTTTTTGAAAATGAATTATGCCGTTTCTGAACAGGATTAACATCCTCCGCTCTGCCCCGGGGCAGCCGTGGCCGCGTTGTAGTGGTTTAACTATGAAATGTACAATTTTTGTACAACAGCTCTCGCGAACGCACTTCTGAACTGGGTACCGAGCGCAGACCATAGTCGAGTGGACAGAACCACAGACATGCGGACCGGACAGAACCATGGACTCGCGTTCAGGACCTCCCGTGTCCCTCATCCAAAACTCCTGAATTTAAAGCTCGGATACCTACATTTTTCCCAATGCACTAACAATGCATGTTCTTTGTGTGAGTTATTATTTGACTATTTGGGCAGAGAGTGGATTTTCTTAGTTTTTTTCCACACAGTTAGTGCCACTTTATTACCAAACTCTTGTTAATTGTATCGAGAAATGTTAAATAAAGCTTAATGTCAAGGCCTGGACTTAAGCATTTTGATGAGAATAACTGTATATTGTGAATATAGGCTACAGAGTATACTGTATACATTATAAGATAAGATAAGATATACTTTATATATCACACAGAGTATGTACAGTATATATTTTTACATTAGTACTGTATACATTTTTACATTTTCTCCTGGAGGTGTGCCGCAAGATTTTTTCAGTGAAAAAAGTGTGCCTTGGCTCAAAAATGGTTGAAAAACACTGCCCTATCCAGATAATATCCATAGGTTAAAGCTGCTGGGGACTGACCTGTCACTATAGAGTTGTCTAATTAACAGTAAAGAAGTGTTTGGTGACGGTTTGTACACTGTGCCTTTTAAAGACCAGGTGTCATGATTTTACAGTAAAGGAAATGAACCCAAAACGCAGAACTGCAAAAAATATGGATTTAAGAAAAAAGTGAAATCCAGGTAAAACAACACAAAAAGTAAACAATCAGGGACTGACGACAAGAACTACAAAAATATATGGAATGACAATGACAATGACAATGACTGAAAGAACACACAGGGTTTAAATATAAGAAGAAACACAGGTGAGAGAGACACATGAGTGCAGGTCATGAGACAACAGGGAGTAGAGGGAAGACACAGGGGTAACAAATCATTCATTCATTTATTTCAATTGTGGACATGATAATACATTATATATTTTGCATTAACATAATAATGATAAAAACAGATAATTGTAGTCCTGTCACATAATTGAAAAGGAGCAGAAATAAGAACAAAATCTTGTGTAGCCTGCCCCTTTCTTAAAACATGTGCAAACTAAAGAAGAAGAAAAAAAAATCCTACAAACTGTTTTGATTTTATTTATTTGTTTTGATTTTTTTTATCATTATTATTTTGTATGATGTTGTTATTTTAAGATAAGATAAGATAAACCTTTATTCGTCTCGCAGTGGAGAAATTTCAGTGTCATCGCTGCGCACATTACAGCAGAGAAAGAAGGAAAAAAGAGCTCTCAGATTGCACACATCAAATAAGTCTATTATTTAAGATAATAGACAATAAAATAAAGATAAGAATAAAAAAAAAATGGGTTATGATTGCACTTGGTTCAGAAGTATTTACAGTTGTGTATATTGTACTTTAGCAGCGGAGAATATGAGAATATGAATATGAGCAGAATAAACATCAGAAATAATATCAACAGGTAAAGAGACTGGTGAATGGGAAAAATTTCAGATGGATATGTAATAATGCAGTAATACTAATAACAGGTAAAGTGACTAGTGACAAAGTTACTAGTGAACTATCAGTGACACTTGTACAGACTCAGCAGTTCTTGTTACACATACTCGTTGTACAGCTGACAGCAGCAGGGAGGAAGGACCTGCGAAACCTCTCCTTCACACAGTGAGGATGAATAAGTCTGTCACTGAAGCTGCTCTCCAGAGCAGAGAGAGTGTCCTGCAGGGGGTGACAGTCATGGTCCAGCATAGAGGTTAGTTTGTCTAGGACCCTCCTGTCCCCCACCTGCTGCACTGTGTCCAGGGAACAGTCCAGGACTGAGCTGGACTTTCTGATGACCTTTTTCAGCTTCTTCCTGTCCCTCTCTGTGATGCTGCTGCTCCAGCAGACCACATCAAACAAGATAATGACCACCACAGAGTCATAGAAGATCTTCAGGAGTGGCCCCTGCACTCCAAAAGACCTGAGCCTCCGCAGCAGGTAGAGCCGGCTCTGGCCCTTCTTGAAGAGGGCGTCTGTGTTATGAGTCCAGTCCGGTTTGTGGTTCAGATGAACACCCAGGTACTTGTAAGAGTCCACTCTCTCAATGTCCTTTCCCTGGATGTTTTTTTAATAATTCATTTTATACAATTTCACTGTTAATGCTTTGATTTAGTTACAAATTACAATTACTAATTTGGGCGACAGGGTGGCAGAGTGGATTGCACTCTCGCCTCTCAGCAGAAGGTCCTGGGTTTGAATCCCGGTCGGAACTGGGCCTTTTTGAGTGGAGTTTGCATGTCCAAATGTCCGGTTTCCCCTATCACTAAAAACATGTACAATCAGTCTGGCATGCGCCTCCTGTACTGCCAACCCTGCTCACTGTGTGGAGTGAGAGACAAATGCCCACAATTGTAAAGTGTAAAATGTGACTCTGGTCTGTGAAAGGTGCTATATAAATTACTTACAAACAAAACAAAATAGGAAATGAACCTAAATCATGACACCAGGCTCACAATACTATAATGTGTGTAGCAATGTGATTTTAAAATGTATATACACAATTTACACACAAAAATGGCCAAGACCACTCTGTGATCACAAATCCCAAGCTAACTAGTTATGTAATTATTAAGCTATCAAGATCACTTTTTTCATTGCACAGCAACCCCTGATAGCATAGTTGTGAAGAATAAGTAAAAAACTGTAGTTCACAAGATCACAGCACATTTCCCATTGAACATTTTTAATAAGCCATGAACCTCTCTTGAGACTTATACCCTAGTTCTGGGATCAATTGTTGGAATCCAATTAATTTTTACAAGCTGCTATTCAGATCCAGCCTTGCAGATTGACTTTACTATTCCATCGCCATCTCCAACACACCAGCATCTACGCAAAAACTGTACATTTATTCACCGACCAACGCGCTTTCGATTGGTCTGTGAGGCTAAAAACCCCCAAGAAGCATTGCTGCAATTAGGTGTGTGTGAGCAGCATCAGCAAGAGGTTTACCGCGTGCATGACTATTACTGGAGGAGCTGAGAGAGGGGAGTGAGGCGTGCGTGTGTGTGTGTGTGCATGGGGAGGGGGGGTGTGGTGTGGTGGAGAGAGTGGGAGAAAGGGGGGTGTCTAATGCTGCAGTGGTGAGACAAGTGAGCGGAGGAGACTGCAGTCTGCTGCTTATGGGAGGCATCACACTGAGGCGATTCGCACTGGAGCCGGCGTCCACACTGTTAGACCTGTTATTGGATGGGACAGCTGCTGACGAGGGAGGGGGCACCGCATCTGACCGGTGAGTTTTGCCATGAATGACGCATGTTTGATTAGATGTACGCGGTAGATGGCGAGATCGATGCCAGGGCTGTGTTTGCAAAGTGATTGGCAAGTGCCCATAACTCATCAAGGTGTTTTTTGTTTTGTATAGTGTATGATTCAATTTCATTTATATTTGTGTATCCCTAAATCTCAACAGTAGTTATCTCAGACTTTACAAAACCGTCGATTCCTCAACACAGACCAACAAATCAAACAGAACCAAGAAATGCATTAACAAAAGACACATACACCTTAAAGGCCGAATGACCAATGTCCATAAATGTTGATTGTGTGTTTGAAGCAGAGGTGCTATCGTTGGAGTGTGCATGCTTGGGATAATTGATCATAGTTAAACAGAAAGAAGGAGATGGGTTCAGGATTTGATTTAAACTGTTGTTGCTTGTAGATGCACTGTGACAAGTTGAAGTATGAAGTCCTATGAGGTCTATCTATACATCTGTCTGTCTATCTATACATATGTTTGTCTATCTATATATCTGTCTGTCTGTCTATCTATATATCTCTCTATATATCCGTATCTATCTATAATCTATATCCACATCTGTCAATCACTTTTCAATATCTGGGTTACCTCACTGTACAGCAATTATGGATAATGGAAATATACCTGTGCATTATTGATACTATACATTCCTTTATTTCTCATTCCAATTGTTTCCCTGACAACTGAACACTATTGCAGCTTATTCCTGATTCGAAACCTTTGCTCCGAGCCGTGACTTGACTCTGGCCTTGGTCCAATTCCACTGGACATTACTATATGCAGCTTGGGCTAACGCTGGGTTGCAGTTTGACAGTATCTGGATTGCCTAGCAACAATCCTATCTCCGGCTATATCACACACAGACCCTTGCTTCGTGAATCGGTTACATTTGGTCATAAATCATGTCCGTTCTCAGCAGGCCGCACACACCTGTAGGAGTGTAGGCTGAGCTGATGTGGTGAATCTCACTGTCAGAGGTTTTTTGACGTTGAATGAGGCTGTGTGTAAGGTAGTTTGTTCTCATGTGTCTTGGAGTGCAGGGATCACTGAAAGAATTCAATTTAGTGCATGACGCCTGCGAGATATGCTCGTGTCTTTGCGGTGGTCGGCTCATTTAGATAGAAATGGAGGCAGTTGGAAGAAGATGGAATAAATCTTTGAATACTCCCACGTCTGCACAAGCACATGCTGACTTTGGTGGCTCATTAGTTGTATTGTTGCGCTGCTGAAGGCCGAGCAGATTGTACTGTTGGACCTCTGTGTTCACAAACAGTATTCTTTGTTTTAAACGAGCAATCCACATTTAGAACATAAAGAATATATATTGCTCTAGAATGCACTAAACCGACACAAGGTAATGAATGGACTGAGAAATTACAGCATGCACAATAAATAAACTGTAGCTTTGTATTTATTGTTTGATGAAAAGAGCCAGGACAGCCATACAGTACTTACAGTGTACTTACAGTACATACACTGGATCCCTGTTGCACATAGAATCAACTTTGAATGTCCAGTGCTGACATTCAGGGCCTCATGGTGAGGCACATCCAAGGCCTAATCCAGCCTTACGTCTCCAACAGTTAGCCCGAGGTCCTCCACTCAGAACCTCTTGATGGTCCCTCACACTTGTTCTACAACTCGAGGAGACAGATGCTTTCAGGCTGACGCTCCTCGCCTTTGGAATGAGCCTCCCCAGTCTCTGCAGTCTCTTTGTGATCCTGGTCTGTGAAAGGCACTATACAATAAAACTTTACCTTTAGCAGCTGAAGCTACAGAGAACTAAAAGGCTCTGTTTAAATACAGCCATGAAGTGATGATGAGCTCAGGTGTGTGACTGAGGCTGAGCTCAGGTGCAGGTGGAGGCGCAGGTGGAGGTGCAGGTGCAGGCGCAGGTGCAGGCGCAGGTGGAGGTGAAGGTGCAGGCGCAGGTGGAGGCACAGGTTGAGGTGCAGGTGGAGGCGCAGGTGGAGGTGGAGGTGCAGGTGGAGGCGCAGGTGCAGGCGCAGGTGGAGGCACAGGTGGAGGTGCAGGTGGAGGCGCAGGTGGAGGTGCAGGTGGAGGCGCAGGTGGAGGCGCAGGTGGAGGTGCAGGTGCAGGCGCAGGTGGAGGAGCAGGTGGAGGTGCAGGTGGAGGCGCAGGTGGAGGTGCAGGTGGAGGCGCAGGTGGAGGGGGAGGAGTCAGATGTGAGGGCACAACGTCTCTTTTGGTCCAGTCTGTTTTTACGAGCTTCATATCAGTTTCAGAGAGCGCTTATTCTTTGCTGTGACAATCCATCCTTCCATTTAGATGATTAGATTGAATGAATACTACACAGTTTTGTTTTTTATGTGATGTGTTTGTCTTCTCCTGGACCATGAGTCTGCAATAAAAGCTTGATGATGAGGATGATGAGTTATGTGGGCTGGGATGAATGATTTCAGTGCTCACTGTAAACTGATTAAGGCACACTTTACGACCATCCCAAGCATACTCCCAGCCTTCTAATAATTGGAATAAAATAAAATCTTTGAAAAGGGGTTCAATTTTTTGGCATTGAAATACATTTTATGCTTTTGTTTATTCCTTTTACAGGGACTTTCTATTGTTGCCCTCTGGGCTGACGGACTGGTAGTAACTTTTTTGTTTTTTTCCCTATTACTTGTTTGCGACCTAATCTTTTTTTTTTCTCCAGCATCTGTTGCAAGTAACTTTATGATACCAGCCTGCAGTCAGGAGGATTCCCATAGGACGACTTTGGATAGATTGAAGCTTTATGATCTGAAACCTTTTGTTAATGCTTCATCTCTAAAAGCTTCTGTATATTTAAAACAGAGGTGTCCTTCGTCAGAGCTCTCTGTTTCCAAAAACACCAACAAAAGGAAGAGTTTCTAAATGAGCGTGACTCATAAAACCATAAAACAGATGAAATATTTTTTTCAAGTTGTGTGTCTTTGAGCAGTGTGACAACAGAAGGGTCATTCAGAGTGATGGCTGTTATTGTGTTTTGAAAGTAAAGTGTCCCCTTCATGTCTGGCACATTTATCACATGTTTGTTTTTGCCGTAAATCCTCAGCAAAGTGGATGAGTTCTTATAGCTAGAAATTCTAATAAAATTGTTTGTTAGAAATTGTGCTGTGATACTGTCTTTTGAGCAAGATTCACTTTATGTGCATCTTATCTTCTTTACCAAAGACATAAAAACTTTTAGGACAAGATTGGTTGTTATTCTATTCTATTTGCGTTTCATTTGATTATCCGTTTAAATCAGGGGTCCCCAACCTTTTTCGATTGGAGATCTACTTTTGTTTAAGAAGAATTAGCACACAGCTTCTCCTTTAGCATTAAATACAATTGTAAACTATAAAAATAACCACTGCACTGCCAAAAGGTGATGACAAATGTCTCAAAGATTTGATAATCTGTTTAAAAATATACAAGAAATGTCTCCCATGGAATGAGAAAATAGAGCAGTAGTAGTAAGGCTACACACATATATAATATACCATTACCAGTTCAGTATCCCTGCAATAATGAAATGATTTATAGTTAAAATAGACATGTAATGACTCAAAAGTGAATCATGACCCATGTTTTAACTTGCTCTATTGGGAAAGTTTAAAGGTGACTTATTTAGCTTTTCTTCATTTTTCACAGTCCATCCTATGCACATGTGTGATCATTATTTGGTTGATACACAAAACAACACTCAAAACGTATAGCCATTTTGTGCATAGAGGTGATGTCACCTCATGTGAAACGCCCACGTCCCCTGCCCGCACGGTGACGTAGCATTACGCTTCGAGGTAAACAAAAGCAAACTGTTCAGCTTTCGCTGTTACAGTCATTTCAGACCTGAGAATAAACTTTTTCCAACAATGGCAACCCGTCACATAGAGCCCTAATCATACCCTAATTATTTAGTTCACAGTGATATAACGACAAGTCAGTTGCATTGCACTCACAGAGGCTCCTGTTTCTAGGTAACTGTAGTTCTGGAACAGTCTTTGGTGGTGTCACCGTCACTCGCAAAGAAACATCTGCAAGTTTCGTCGCAGATTTCAGACTTGCGGATTTCGCAAGGCAGATCCCTGTGAACAAAGTCAAAGCTATTCGCCTCATTCTCCGTCTTTGGGCCAAATACTCTCGTCACATATTTACACCAACAACACATTTTCTCCAAGTTCACATGAAGCTAAGACAAAAAAGCACAGACGCTTATTTACTGTCAATGGACCGCACGCGGGCGACAGTAGCTCAGTTGGTAGAGCATTGGCCTTCAGGCCTGAAGGTCGTGGGTTCAATTCCCACCTCCACACCTTCTCCACCGACTCCCACTGATGACTGCTGTCGTTGTGTCCTTGGGCAAGACACTTAACCCCACTTTGCCCAAAAGCCCTCGCTGAAAGATCAAGGCTATGCTCACACTCAGAGAGCAGCCGTCCTCCTGTGGACTCACCACCTGCAGAGGGTCAGTGAAGGGCTGGTGCTATGAGACTTGGGTGGCAGCTCTGACTGCCACCCCCCTGACCCAGAAATGGATTAAAGGGTAGAAAATGGATGGATGGAATAATCAATTAAAAAACAAAAATATTAAGATAAGATAAGATGTGCTTTATTTATCTCACAAGGAGAAATGTACATGTCACGTTTGGCATGGATAGAACACTCAGATTGTGCGAAAGGAGGAAATGTGCAAACATGTTGTATGTTTACACAGTGACACATGTGGTTCTATATTGCACATTCCGACATTAGTTTAAATTATTGCACAGATGCACGACATGTGAGGTCAGGCCGGCAGTGTCTCCAAGTCTTCGTTGTTCGTTGTACAGTCTGACAACAGCAGGAAGGAAAGCGCCGCGGACCCTCTCCTTCCCACTGCAAGGTTGGATCAGTCTGTCACTAAATCCTGTTTTTTTCTGTATTTTCAGACAGACCGAGCCGAGACTGTGACAATGAAGTTCAACCTGTTCAGGAAGCCCGAGGCGGTGGCGGCTCCGGAGCCAACGGGGGCCACCACTCCCACCATGGCCACGCCCACTCCAGGAGTCATGTCCACCACCGTTGAACCGGGCCCTCCCTCCAACAACACAGAGATCAGCAAGAACGACATGTTTGAAGAAATCAAGACCAAATTTATGAATGAAATTGATAAAATTCCACGTGCGTTTTTATTGTTACCTTTCATATGTTCATGCATTCATTCATTACAGTTTGAAGGAAATTATTCTAAAATGATGTACTCTGGGGCGGCAAAGGGGGGCAGAGCTAAGGGATGCAGGAAGTAAAAAATCCCAGTATAAAATCCCCATACACATTTTAATGAATTCCAATAAATGATTGAAATTGACCGCACGATCAACATCAAAAGTATTTAAGACATTTTTTCCAGAAGTATTTGTTCCAAAGGCCACTCAATCTTTTTCTGTCTTTTAAGACATCTGTTTTATATAGTGCTGTTTTTGACTCTCAAAGATGTCATCATTCAGTCACTCCATACATGGTTGTGGTGAACTACTACTGTAGCCACAGCTGCCCTGGGGCACACTGACAGAAGCAAGGCAACCAAAATGTACCATCAGCCCCTCCGACCACCACCAACAATCTACACACACCAGACTCATTATAGGAAATGTGGGAAATGTCTTCAGCCGCCCCACTGTGGCACCTGGTGTTCCCAGAGGTCTCCCATCACAGTACTAACCAAGCCCTGCCCTGCTACATAAATATACCAACTGTGCTAACACAGCCAAAGGGGGCACATGTTGGGTGCTGAGAACCGTTACTGACAGTACTGAGGTGGTCTAAATATTGGCATTTTTTATTGGCACATCTCCCTGAACACCTAATATATAAAATACATTTATAAATCAATAAAAGTGGCAAAGTTGAGCAAAACCTATTTATAACTAGCATTATTCAATTCAATTCATATAATTTTTGAATAATTCTAAATCACAAGTCAGTAGTTATCTTGTCTATTCGCCAACACAGTTCAAACACTAGAGATACGATGATAAAAAACACATAGAGACATTGGTCCATGAGGGGAAGATGACCAATGTCCATGAATGTTGTTGAATGTTGAGTGTCCACTGTCCTTCGACCCTCCTGCTGGATAATAGGCTATCCTGCAGGTCGCTAGTGGGATTTTCTAAACTCTTATGGGGATTTAAAATACTGATTTTTACTTCTGTAAACTTAAGCTCCCACCCACTTTGTAACTGCATACTCTGAATAAACATCCAAGTCCTTTGTGCTGACTGCGTTTCAGTGCCTCCCTGGGCTCTGATCGCCATCGCTGTGGTCGCCGCCCTCCTCATCCTCACCTGCTGCTTCTGCATCATCAAGAAATGTTGCTGCAAAAAGAAGAAGAAGAAAGGCAAGAAGGGCAAAGACGGCATGAACATGAAGGACATGCAGGGCGGTGAGGTACGGGCCTCGACACACGAACCCAAACATGGACTATGGCTTTCTTTGTGCGTCTGTATAAACCTGCTTTGATCTCTCAGCAGCAACTCTTTTAGGCTGAGCCGAAGGACACAAGGAGAGCGCTCTATTCCCTTCATCTTCTCGCTGTCGTGGTGGTTGTGGTTTTATTTGTGTGACGTGAAATCATTGTAGCCCCTGGTGAAAAATGACACGTTTTGCAACCTGCTGGCAGTGAATAATGAGCTGCATTCACCCAGTTTTATAATTAAATGTAAAGAATGAGGCTTATGGAGCAGTGCTTTGCAAAAGGCGGGCCAGGACCTTAAAGTGGGTCTCAGGATGATTCTTAGAGGGTTGTGAGCCTTTCCTGGACACAAAAAAATACTTACACCTACCACACTTACGACTTACCTATACAACAAATTGGTTAAGAAATTAACATTAAACGAGCAATATCTAAAAGGTTTGGCCAAAAGTGGTCCTGCAACCTCTCCCACTCTCCCTGACTCAGGTTGCCAGATATGCAGAGACATAGAAATCCTTTTTTTATTCCTTGTTTTGTCATTGATGATTTGAGTATAATGACCAGACCGTTTTTAGTTCTGCGGCCACATGTTACTTTACCAGTGAGATTAGCATGACGCGGTGAGTTCTGGCAACCCTGATCATAGACTTTCTGATTGAAGAAACAGTAGAGGGCGGGACATCAATATGAAAACAATAGCATGATTTAGGGGCTGTAAAACTAATTTTGAAATTCGAATACCTCAGCTGAACTACTGTAATCAGTTTATGTATTCAACAAGAGAATGGTTTTTAATACCTTTTGACAGATTAGGGCCATTTAATGATGACTTGACTTGAAAATCTTACATATTGCTACCCTTTGAATTTCTATTTAAAAACCTGAATCCATAATTACTAGATTTCTTGACATTGGTTACTTAAAGGTTAATAACTTTTTATGGTTTCATACTGTAAATATACACTGCCATTATTGCCCCAAACGAACCACAATAATTTCAGTTAAGTGAGCCAGACTAACAAGTAAGTCTCAAACCAAACCTGTTTTAGTGTAAAAATATGTGAAATTGTGTTCTACCTGTTTGAATTCAATCAAACTAAATCTGAGATAAATTGGCAGCCTCCTCAGCAGCCTCACACTGGGTCAGTTGTGGATCATAGGAAGCAGGCGTGTCAATTCTCCGCCTGAAGCTGTTACCTGTAGTGGAGTCTCGTGAGTTGAATCTCTTCCCCTCTCTCTGCTCTCCTCTTCCCCCTGCTCTGTGTGTGCGTCTCTGTGTGTGCGTCTCTGTGTGTGTGTGCGTCTGGTGTTGCACTGTTGCCGGATGACCCCTCAACACGGTAGGTGGAGTGCTCCCACTGAGGCCTGGACACTGGGTTTGATGGAATGAAACTTGTAGCTTCCTTGGCTTTTTGCTTTTACTTTGTAATTAAATATTTATCCTCTAACTCAATTAGATCATGAGGAAGTTTAATGTAAGGAACGTGGAATGCCATGATTTGCTCCATAAACCCACCAGAGGGGAAACACTAACAACAAAGTATACACCAATATGTCAAAATATTGGATTCAAGAGATAGCATGCACAACACTTTAAGACTGTTATTATTTGCATGATGTTATTATGAGGGCATGACTGGCTGTTTGGAATATTGGACTGACGTATGCAAGCAAATGTCGCAGAATATTTTCGTAATAATTTTTAAATTGCCATAGAAATTGTGATGCTAAATATGGATATGGAATACATTTGATAAGCTCCAAGGTTCCACTCATTTCAAAAAGAAAGACATGCCCTTTAATCTTGAACCATTATGAGCAGAAAGAGGATGTTTTTTGTTTGACGTCTAGAACAACAACAAAACAACAGAACAACACTGCAAAAAAAGATAAAATATGCGGTCAAAAATTATTAAATTGAGTGGTTTTTATATTGATTTGAATACATTCTGAATAATTATCTGAGGAAGACGTTACATTCAATCTTTTAAAAACAAGATACTTTTAGGGCAGTCAAAATGTGTCTAAAATAAAATACATTTGGCCAATGTGAGCATTTCCTAACTAAAGGCATGATTGAAGAAATTAGCTTGACAGTGAGACCAAAAAATTAGATTTTTTAACATTTCAGAATAGAGGGCTGGTTTTGGTTCATATGGATTGGATGATTTTCGCTTTATTGAATAATTTATGGTGTTCTAAATTGCATTTTGTCCTCTCTTCGTGCAACTATAGCATGCACTGACTGGCTGTTACTGTATTGCACAAGCATGTTAAAATACAGTAAGTTCTCATAATCAATAATAATAATGATGATGATATGAATACAATTAAGTTAAGTGAATATTTGAACGAAGATTACAAGAAATTAGGTTAAGGCTTTTGCAAATGGGGAACTGTAAAAAATTATATATGTATAGATAGTGATCCACCAGGTTCTGCATTGGTAAGTGTGTAGCTGAGTCTGTGGCATGGTGTTTGTGTATTGTTCCATATCGGATGTAGTGTGATTAAGTGATCATTGAGAAGTGTTTTTATGAACACAGAAACACCAGGACGATGATGAAGACGAGGGAGAGACTGGACTCACTGAGGAGGAGAAGGAGGAGGAGGAGAAGGAGCAGGAGCCTCTGGGGAAACTGCAGTACTCAATCGACTATGACTTTGAGAACACAAAGGTACTAATGTTGTTTGGCTATCGGCTCTAAAAGTCTCAGAGGTTTTTTGAAAATTAAGTTTATTTGTATAGCACAGTTTATATGTGAGGAAACTCAAGATGGAATCAATACCAGGGACCAGGTCTGCAAATTAGCTGACCTGGCCTTTGAATATGGCATCGGTTATTTGTAACATTGCTTCTTGTTCTGTCTCTATCGAATAAACATACAATAAAAATAACATCCAAGGCATTCAAATCATACACAATCACAGTACATCAGAGTAAACAAAATAGAAAGGACTAGCCTACAGGTCAGCACAGAGGCACTGATCATAGCTGCACAGGAGCAGGCCCTGAGCACCAGAGCAATACCACACCAGACAAGACCCAAGGTGTCGGTTGTGCAAAGGGGGACCTAAGACGATCCAACACATAACTGCAGGGTGCAAGATGCTGGCAGTGAAGGCCTACATGGAATGCCATAACCAAGTGGCTGGCATAGTATACAGAGTATGGGCTGGAAACTCCGAGGTCTAAGTGGGAAACTCCTCCAAAGGTGGTGGAGAATGAGCGTGCGACAATCCTGTGGGACTTCCAGATACAGACTGACCGAATGGTAATGGCGAACCAACCTGACATTATGGAACATTCCAGCAGATCCCTGGAACAAACTTGGAAATCTTGGTCCAGAAATGTGCAGTGCTTGGAATAGCATGCTCTGACCCCAGGTTTGATTTCAGTCTTAAAAACAAAACAAAATAAATCTACTAAAAAACAGCCATTTAGAATTACCCTTAGAAATGAGCTTGGCTTTCGTCAACACACAGAAACCACTTGAGAAGCATCAAGAAGATAAGTGACAAATAAATATTACTTACTAGATTACTTGCTACACTGGATCCATTATATATCCCCGCCACTCATAACTACATGTATGACTTATTCTCTCTCTCTCTCTCTCCTAGCTGACCGTTGGGATCCTTCAGGCTGCAGATCTCTTGTCCATGGACTCCGGTGGGACCTCAGATCCTTATGTCAGAGTGGTTCTGCTTCCTGAAAAGAAGAAGAAGTTTGACACCAAAGTTCACAAGAAAACACTCAACCCAGTCTTCAACGAGACATTTGTATTCAAGGTACGACTATGTTCATAATACACTTTTAGTATCATTAAAGCTGCACAAACACGTCACACACGGCACAATTCTGCAGCCTATACACTGCTCCTTTTTAATGAAGACTCCAGAGACTTCCAGTAGCACCAGATCAGGCTGGAGATGAGACAGGACTGTATATGAATCTATAGTGACCTGTACTTCTGCTGAAGAAGCAAGGTGTAGCCAGACAAGGGAAGCAACATAATGAGATAACATGGAGAAACATGGCTGAGGATGTTGGTATTTACTTACACTGACCAGCCTCCTGTGGACTTAGCACCTGCAGGAGGATCAGTGAGGGGCTGGTGCTATGTGACTTCAAATATGTATGAAGGGGAAGAAGATGGATGGATGGACTCATGTTACCTTCTAACATCAGCACGAGCTCTTCCTCTTTTACAAAACAAAAAAAGTGTCATCACTAACTTACTATTGGTGTAGAAGAACCAAATAACACTATTCTACTAATAATATAACATGAACCTTCCTAAACTATACAAAACATGTCTCTGTCTTCTTCAGGTCCCTTATGAGGAGCTGGGCGGGAAAACACTGTGCATGTCTGTCTATGATTATGACCGCTTCTCCAAACACGACGTGATCGGAGAAATCAAGGTTCCCATGAACACTATCGACCTGGGCCGGCCCATCGAGGAGTGGAAGGACCTGGAGAGCGCCGACCAGGAAGAGGTGCTAAAGGCTATACACTATCATTACACATTACACTAGAACAGTTAAAACACAAGACATGCAATGATGAACAAAACAGCCATTTGTTCATAAGGGGCAGATGACCAATGTCCACAAAGGTTGATAAAGTCCATAAATGTCGTTGAATGTTGAATGTCCTGGATCATCACCACTGTCCTTAGACCCTCCAGGTTCCCCTCAGCTGTTGGTAGGAGCTGACTGAAAGACAGTAGAATGAGTATTTGTCGAGTCTTAGACAGTACAGCCTTGTTACAGTGAAAAACAGTTTTGCCAGGATGCTGGAACTTCAAAGGATATTAAATACAGTATGTGTTTGTAGAGGAATCATGGGCAACATCTTTTCCCAGTGTCCTATGCTTCATGTTTGAGTGTTGTTATAGGCATGTTGATGTCCTTTTGAAGTCTGTATGTTGCCTGAATGCCTCTTGTGTTAATTGTTTAGCCTGAGAAACTTGGAGACATCTGCATATCCTTACGTTATGTCCCCACGGCTGGAAAACTGACCGTGTGCATCCTGGAGGCCAAGAATCTGAAGAAGATGGACGCCTGTGGATTGTCAGGTAAATAATAAAGAGTCTTAAACAATATATATATATATATACAGTATATATATATATTGATTGATTTAATTTGAATCTCTCGTTTGAATGAAGTACAACTCATTCATGGTGCTAATTTAATCGCTTCATGCATTAGTTCTATGCTGTTTAGAATCCAACAAGTCTAGTCAACATTGGTGTTTTTCTCAAGTCTGCCACACATGACTTGAGAAAAACTCTAATGTTGTCTACAATGGCTCTTGGGTTGATTGGCACATCGTTCTCTTTAGATCCGTACGTGAAGATCCAGCTACTGCAGGGAGGCAAGCGACTGAAGAAAAAGAAGACCACGGTGAAGAAGAACACCTTAAATCCATACTACAATGAATCATTCAGCTTTGAGATCCCACTGGAACAGATGCAGGTAACAAGTACCAGTAAAATATCACATCTCATGATAGGTGCCACATCATGACCTTTGTAATGCCAACTCAAAATATCAAGTCCATGGTAAAAGTCCCCCCAATGTTTTTTTTCTTTCTAATAGTGATACATAACAAAGATTTAATAAAGAACAATTTTCTATTCTAAAGATTGCTTGTTCCATGATAGATGGGTGAACCTTTGTGCAGATTTTCAATTCCATATTTTTTTTTTTTCTGTAAGATAAGATAAGAGATCCTTTATTTGTTCCAGAGTGGGGAAATTTCAATGTTGCAGCACACATACAGGACAGTAGTAAGAGCATACAGGGAAGACACAAAATAAGTAATAGCTGTGTTTCTTCTTCTTCTTCTTCAAAAAAAATGTAGAGCAGAGTTACATACTATTCATATAGGGCAGGATAATAGACGAAAAAGAAGAAGAAGAAAAGAAGAAGGTCCTTTATTCGTCCCACAATGGGGAAATTTCAGTTTGATGCATTACACATACACATACCAGTGGGGGCGGGTCCCAGCTCAGAAGTGGCCAAAATGACGTGCGCTGACATGCTTGCAATACCACCCCAGGCCGATGGGGGTGGACCCAGAAGTAGAATTAGCCAATGCTAACATATAGCGTTGGCAGACCTCTCAAAAACGTCTTTACAGGATGGACCAAAAGTTGGCTCTAGGCCCAAAGCTCCGTTCCACATGTGTGTCAATGCTGAGGGGGGTGAATTTTTTTGGTCCACTCTAGTTTACTTGCGGTGAATTTTTGAAGTCTCTCGTTCAAATGAATTGAGCTGCGCCGGCTGACGCATGCGCAGATGCGTTTTTTCACAATTTTCTTGTGGGCGGGACCACTCGCGGCCATCTTGGATTGCTCCATGAAAGCGCTTTTCATGGCCAACTCCTATGAACGGCGGAGATAGGCGTGACTCTGTCCGTTAATATATACAGTCTATGACACATACACACATACACCTCCTGCATCGGTGAGAAAAAGAATAATAAAGAAGCAATTTCAAAATCTCCAACTTTAGCTCGATACATTTTAGTGTATCAACACCAGTCACTGAACAGGAGGAATGAGGAGCACACAGCACAATAAAAATGAATAATAAAGCTACACTAAAATCAATTAAAATCTCAAATTTTGACATAATCAAGAAGCAAGTATAAAATCTCAAAATTTAGTATAATAAAGAAACAAGTATAGTAAGAGCGGAGTAGTGGCAGAGCACAGACCAAATTACATGAGACTGTGACACTGACAAATCCAACACTTTATGAACTTTGCAAAGTTATGTTGCACAGCCTGTATTTTTTTACCTTAACATGTTGCACACTTCTGTCTTTTTGCACAATCTATCTATTCTTATATTATCTTAAAATTCTCTTCTCTCCAGAAAATCTTAGTGGTGGTCACGGTGTTCGATTACGACAAAATCGGAAAGAACGACGCCATCGGGAAGATATTTGTAGGCAGCAAGGGCACAGGGTTAGGCCTGAAGCATTGGTCCGACATGTTGGCCAACCCTCGGAGGCCCATCGCACAGTGGCACGTGCTCCAACCAGAGGAGGACATCGACGGCCAGCTGGCGGCCCTCAATGCTAAGAAGTAACTCGCTTCACCAGCTAAACTGCACTAACCTGACCCCCACCTCCACTGCATGAAATACATGACCCAAGTGTCATGAATCCTGCTCAGCAAAAAGAGACATCTTAATATATCTGCTTATGGTAACGTTCTTCAGGTCTTGCATACCTCGCTGTATGCTGGGAGGACTGCTGTTGAGTATCACATGACAGGCTCAGGAGATTTCAAGTCTTTTTTTTTTTTTCTGAAGAAATGTAGAAACTGATTCGTAGGGTGCTGACACTGAGTTAAAGTCTTGGAATAGACTAGACTGGAAATAAAGCTTTAGTTTAGTTTGTAGAGCATGCTTACTTGCTTTCTAAGGCGCTACACATGCCCACACATGCCCACTACTGCAATATGCTAATTATGTGGTCTTACTTGCAATAGAAAACTATGCTAATGGAAGATTTCCTTCCCAGAGAAATGCTGAATCTATAAAGAAAAAAAAAATTAAATGAAATAATAAGTGAGGTGAAATTAATGTATACAGAAATCAGCTCTGTCTCATTTCCAGCTTCCATATCACAAGGTCCACAGAAAACAGACTTCTCTCGTCTGTTGAGTTTGCTTGCTTTGTCTTGCCTTGATGACATGTCTATGCATTTAGCTTCCACTTCTGCTGTGACCCCAGACAGATTTAATGTATGACAGGGTGCCTTTCCTGAATTACACTTTGATAATTAGATCACTGTAAATATTATATACTTTTTGCGGCAATTTTTTGTTCAGAATTAAAGTAAACATTGGTAAAGTGGGTGAATATTACTGTAATTGGAGCTGGAGTTTGGAACATCCTATTCTATTTGTGAATTAAGTCAAAGTTAAAAACGCTTCAAAAGAGTTTTTTTGTTGTTGTGATAATAATAAAAAATGACTTTATGAATGTGCATTATCCATATGCAAACACAAGGAAATCAGTGAAATTTTTCTAGGACAATTTAGAAATCTTTGAAAGTGAAAATGTAGCTACTTATTATGTCAGGAAGACTCTCAATCTATTGCTTGAACCAAATAGAACTGCAGAATGGAGCATGTATCATGCCGTGCAGTGTTTCACTTGTTTGAGTGTTTTATAAGAGTACGGTGTTGGGACTAATGTGAAATAGGAGGTCACAGTACGGCTTTTATTTGCTTCAATGCACTGCACTTGTCGATAAGCTTGAGCATGAACTGTATCCAATAGTTGATGTAAATAGTAGCATGTTTTTAGGGACGCTATGAATCTATTGTGTGTTTGTGTTCTGTCACTTTTGATAATAAAACGACCTAAACGTATGTGGTGACTGCAGTTGAATAAGAACAAATGTGTGTTTGAAATGTAAACGTTTGGATTTCCAATAAAGCAGGTTTGCTTTGTACCAAATGAGAGACTATGTTCTAATGCGGTGATACATGTGGATCTGACTCACCCTCTTCTGGACTGTATTCACGGTACCCTTTTCTGTGTTTACTTCAATAACCTTCTGCAAGAGTACTTCATGGACTTTGTATGAGATTAACACTTAATGGTTACTTTTTATGGTTCTCTAAACTGATCTGAAAGTCTATTATTTTAACATAGAAATGATTATGTTCACATTACACACGATAGCTGTGAAATCAATATAATTTAATACATTCATTATAAAGTCATAACAAGTTTTTCTACCAAAAATGTGATGTTGGACTGCACATGACCAACAATAAAATAAGTAGTTTTGATAGACAGTTCAACAACCGTGCCAGGTAATTGCAGAGCTCTGTTCAGTGTATACAACAGATCCCAGTCTTCCAGGGTCCAGTTCTCTGGAGTACAGACCCAGTCACTGCAATACTGCCAAATATGTCACATTCACAGTCTATGGCCACAACATTTCACTGTCCGCTCCCTTGTGCTCTGTATGTCCATTGTTTATAACTCATGGTATTGTTAGTTCACACATACATGTTTGTGTTTTGTCTTGTAGAGGTGTGTTCATACTTGTGCCTTTTGTGAATTGCATGATTTATTTCAACACAAAGTAAATTTATGTTTTATAGCAAATGGAGAAAAAAATAATAATACTAAAAAAGTATGTATATATATGGTGACTCAATGGATTTAGGTCATCTGTGTGTTGTCAAAATGTAATCGTAGGAGAAAAAAATAATAAATAAAACATTTTATTATTTGTGTGCTGCTGTGTAGACATTACTTCCACTGGCCGCTAGGTGGCAGCGTGCTCAGGATGACAGAAGGTCCGCCCAGACACAGAGAGGTTTCTGTTTTTGCTTACTTTAAATGAAGTTATAAGATATGACTGCAGGTTCCCTTTAGTTATTATAGAAACAGGCTTTAGCGCATAGCTGTGTTAGCCTCATAGAACACTAAGCATATCGTACACAGCTTTATCCACGTGGGAAGGGTCATAATGCTAGCTAGCGTTAAACATTCACTGGTGGTAAGTGTAGTCTTCAAAAATTTGATTTTGAAAACAAAACAGTTTTTGTTTGGTATTAATATTTAAGTATTTTTAACACGGCTTCCAAAATAATGAACCAGTCGAATTTCCGATAAAAAGTTTTTAAAAAAGTCCCCCAAAAAGAAACATGTTATACAAGTTTATCTTTTTCTAATAACATGTTTTAACCTTCACTCACTTTTACTATGACTGGTGTATACAACTGAAAAGCTACTAAATACTTACTGCACTATAAAGTGAACTGTGGCTCATGATGAGGCTATGGTAATTATGGTAAATAACTGCTCTTGTTTCAAAGCAAAAAGATCATTTCATAAGAATAATGGCGTAAAAATAAACTATATAGAAATAGAAAAAAGTCACAAAGTTATGAAGACCAAACATATACTGCCAAACGAAAAGCTTGGGAGTGTTAAAGCTGGGTTACCTAACTTTGTATTATTCAGAGATAGTACATGTTTGTTCCTACAGATAGAGATACAGTATGTAAAAGTATAATGTGAATGAATCCGATCAGAACAACCTGTCTCCATTTATACCTCCTGCATAGAGTGCCCTGTAGGTGACTGTTTGATGCTATGGGCTAAGAGCTGATTGGCTGAGTGAGGGTGGTCCACTCTTTTTAACTGTTCTGTCCAAAAAAGCTGATCTAAAAATATGACAGAGGCCAGAAAATACATGCATGCAAAAAAAACTAGTGATAGCACCATAGATAGAAAATATTAGGAAAGCACCAATCGGTTTGGAGCAAGAAACAAGCTAGTTGGATGGATTTTACTACAGAATTCCTTTGATGTGGTTCAAAAGTTAGGTAGCTGAGCTTTAATACAGGGGTACTTTCCTGCCCACAGCTTATTTATAGCTTTGATTGTTCAATAGTTTTAACACACGGAATAAATAGGAAAACAAAAAGTGGAAATCTCAAACGCTACAGTTAGTTCATTTGGACAGTTTGGTGATGACTCGGATGAGGGCCCCATTCTCATCCTTCAGCCTCTGGTTCTCCGACTTGAGTTCTGCTTTCACCTGCGCAGACACAGCAATTCAATTCAATTCAAGTCAATGTATTCTTGTATAGCCTTAAATCACAACAGTAATTATCGTCAACACAACACGTTGAATTCGTCAACTCATCCAAGAGAATCAAACAATTCAAACAAGACCAATGTGGATAAATGTTGATAAAGTCCATAAATGTTGTTTCCTGCTGAGTTTCTTGGATCATCACTACTGTCCTTAGACCCTCTTGCATCCCTCGTCAGTCATTGATCTAGGGCTGGGGTTAACTAAAAATTGTTCTTGGTTAATAAAGGAAATGCCCTGTCAATTATCTTAAAAAGCTTTCAAAACGATCTGTATCTGACCTAAGCTGTCCTCACAAAACACTTGGCATAAACTGCAAAAAAGGATATGAGGTAATATTGAATTTATTATTTTTTCTTAATTTCAGTACTTTCTGAAAAGATTTACCAATGGGACAAAGCCATTTAGTCTTAACTTAGAACTCCATCTATTTTATTCCCCTTAATCCATTTCTAGATCAGGGGGTGGCATTCAGAGCTCATACACATACAATTGTTTTCATTCCAAGCACACACATATTTCATGTTTCTTTTTAAAACAAAATAATTTAATCTGTCTGGTTTTATTGCAGTGAATATTCTCAAATGAAGATCCATTTGCTTTTATTTTCCTTCATTTTCACTCCCTTTATTATTCAATTTCTGGGTTGCCATACTTGTTTTGTTTCTTTGCGTTCTCCACTCAAAGATTTGTCAAATTGTATGTATAAGAAATGCATACATAAATATATCAAAATTATCACACAATGACAACATTTTTTTTCCCGATATATCATGCAGCCCTAATCTAAAATATTCACAATTTTATACTTGCTTCTTTATTATGCTAAAGCTAAATATGTTATACTTAATTCTTGATTCGTTATTATGCCTGCTCCTCATTGCTACTTTTTTATTTTTTTATTTCACCTTTATTTAACCAGGAAAGTCTCATTGACATTAAGAACCTCTTTTTCAAGGGACAAAAGTTACATACAGTTACATACATACATATTATAAAACAGTTACATACAATTTTATACAATTACGGATTATAAAAACAGCTACTGTTCTGTAACTTGTGATGCAACACTGAAATCTCCCCACTAGGGGCAAATAAAGGATCTCTTCATTTTAATTTTGATAGAACAAATAAAAAAAAACATTTCAGCTACTGCTTAAATGACTAACAACAAAAACACCCCTACATATTTGGATTACTGAGCTTTACTTTGGTTTAGGACTACAATATCAATACATTTATCCACTTTTTTTTTTTTTACAGTGCTTGTCTCGAACCTATAACAAATACAGAGCCACTTTACTCAATGTGCAATTTGTAAACTGGACCCATATTTTTCCCTGCTCTGCTCACAAAGATACAGTGTGTCTCATTCTCCACAATGAACAGTAACAACAGTGACAGTTAAGTATTAGTACACAATAGGGGCCAGGCACAGCGGTTACCTGGAACAATTCCCTTATTATTGCAATATTTGTAATGACTTTTACCTTTAATTGTTCCTCTATATCTGATATTCTCTTTTTCAGTGCCCAGCTTTCCTGCGATGAAGACATGAAGTGATGAAGATAAAGACGAGGTTTTTTGTGCATTAATGGTAAGATTGAAATACCTTCTTCTCATTCTCGAGCATGTTCGATTCACAAGCTCCGGGCCGCCCCTTCTGCAGCAGTGAAAGAGAATTATTGAGTTACTAATGAAAAATTTCTCTTGATTAATGTCGCAGAAGTGTCATTCCTCCCTAGAATGGTACAGCAATGACAGACTTATTGCCGTGATTTTTTATTTAACTTTGCAGAGATTTTGAATTGATATTTAGTGTGTATTTCTTTCTTTTTTTGAAAATATTATTTTATCCAACATTTTCCAACAGCCAAATGTAAAAAAATCAAATAATATGTAATGCATCATGGCTTTATTTTTTTTCCTAAAGCAAGAACCCCAATAACACTCATATAAAGAAAAATAAATGAAATTACAACAATAGAAGATAACACATTGGTTACTCTTTAAGAATGAGCTTGTTATGTTGGTATGTTACATATTATAAATGGCTGCCATGTTTCTACATTTTGTGATTGAGCCCCTTGACGTACACCTCAGTTTATCATTTTGTAAAATACACATTATCTCATTTAGCCATTGTCTGTGTTTCCACCTTAAGAGATCAAAGGCCATCAAAGATTCAAAGGCTATTGTATGAACGTTATATTCTTATAGTTATGATGTCTTGAGGCAACACACCAAAGAGTGCAATCAACGCATTTGTCACAAATGTGTGTATTTCTGTGAAATGACTGTCCGTTTGTGAATGGTGGTTGAGTTTACCTGTGCCCTCTGCAGCTGGTCCTGGATCGCCGTCAGTTCCTGTTTACTTGTGTCCAGTCGGGATTTCAGCCTCTGGTTGGTGGCCAGTGCTTTCTCATACATCTGTACACAGGTAGTATCAAATAGGTATAGTACAATAATAAGTATATGTCTCTTCTGACTTTCAGTTTAAAATGGCAGATTGTGTCAAAAAGTGTGTCAAAATTAATCAAAACTTCCTCCCACTGCTTGGCAGACATATCAGACTATGTCACTGACCCAAAACATTTTTCAAGCTTCTATACAAAAATGTTTTGCTATTTATTGTTGTACCAAACCAAGCACAAACTTTGGACACTTTGTGCGGTGTTTGCGGTAGGACCAATGCTTCACAGGGCCGAGGTGCTCATTGGAAGTTTCGGAGGCATATTAGATTTGCGGAGAACATGTCTGGAAGTCGCTACTTCAAGCCCTGCTACAGTCTCTTATCCATGGGAGCAACTTGTTTCTCCCATGAATTATTATGATGCCTCCCCATAATCACAGGGACAGTAACGTGGTGGAGAAACCTTTGTCTTGAGTTTGCTAGACAAAAGAGAGCAGGGGAGACATAGGAACAGGGATAGACGCAGTCTTGCACTTGGGAGGCGCGCGTCTGGGCTATGGTCTGGTCTATGGTCTGGGCTATGGTCTGGGCATGCTGCTTACAGCGGGGGCAGTAATGATTTGCACTACTCTTACCTTGACCATTAAGCATGGTACTACGGGAGTTCTGTTTGTGAGTTCATGTCTTAGTGATGTATATGTCTGTCAGTTAAAACATACAAACTTTTAATGAAGATTATAAAATCCACAATTGCCAACGCCCTATGATGTCATAATATGTAAATTAGATGGGTACATTTAATCCCGCATACACTTTGGGCCATCCTTAATATTTCCCCTAATTTACAGAAAGCCTCTATCTCTTATCACTTTAAGTTTTAGCCTTTTGAAATTAAGATGTCAAAACTATGGTGCTTAAAGGGATAACACAAAATATATCACCCTTTTGAATGAGGTTTAGTTTCCTTTGGAAATATCTCAGACATATCAGTTCCAGACCTTTTTGTAGTCATTGATGGCGGCCTCTTCCTCTGCTTTCCTCCGCGCCGACAGTCTATGCTCTCTCCTCAAGAAGTAGGACTCGGCGTGGTTCACTGCCGCGTCACTGGATGCATTTGACACATTACTAGATCTCGCAGAGTTCAAGCTAAAAATACAAACCCCCGATTAATTGGAAACTACGCAAATCTGATGCTATTCTTTGACTAATATAGAAACTTGTTTGAAACAGATTTAAAAGGTTTCTTACCGCGATAGCCTCTCATTCTGTAAAAAAGGAAACGGAAAAAAAAAAGCATTACGCCAATCTAATCAACAATAACATAATAAGAACGGGATTAAGAATTATTAATCAAAGTGTACTAACTTGGTGGTACGTGGGTTCGCCTGAGGTTCTATTATTAGCTTTATGCCAAAAAGAATCTTTATTCTTCTATTAGGATTAAGATTCAGAGATCCTTTATTTGTCCCACATTGGGGAAATTTCACCGGTTACAGAACAGTAGGAATGGGGAGCACAAGATAAATTATCAATAACTCTAAGGAAACAAGACTAAAATCTCTGGCTTTAGTATAATGAAGAAGCAAAAATCTCTGAATCCAGCACAATAAGAAGTAAGTACATAGTCTATCTTAGTAAAATAAAGAAGCAAGTCTCTACTTCAGTATCAGATTGTATTTTTCACAGTATATAGTAGATATTATGATTCTAGGGAAACCAGAAGCATTCTGCTATGGTACTTGATGTGAACATTTGAGACCCACTTAACAGGTCTATAATGTCTTATAGTTAGACATTTATGACATGTCAAACCCAGGGAAACCTCAATGACCTTCATTTGGTGCGGAATTCCCCAGTACCTGCACTGATTGTCCTGCATTCTGTTAGTTTGAAAATAACCCAATCCTGAACCAGAAGTCTTTTGAAGTTTTCTAAAAGAAATCTCTAATGACAGATTGTTTTTTCAGTTTTCCAAAAGCTAACATTGCATCTGAAATACCAAGCCAAGTTAAAGACAGGGAGATGAACTGATCCTTTAAATACACAGACAAGTGCAGATAGCTCAATGCATCCAAATAAGGTCATAGCTCTGGCGGCAGCTGTAGATTTTGTCCATTATTGCCTGCTGAAGTTGGACAAGCTATGCAGTGCATTCACTCTCAAGATCTGAAGAAAGTAAAAAGCAATGCTATCCATCAAAGGAATTATAACAATTTAGTCTGATGGATTTCCATTGCTGTTTAATGAAAGTGGTGTACAACTGTGTAAAGCCCTTTAAGAGGAAAAAACTGTCAGAAATGTATTTAGTGACATTTTTTTAACCTGGAAAGATCCTACTGAGATTTTAGAGTCTCCCTTTCAGGGGAGTCCTGATCCCAGAGAGGGGGCTTTTATAGATGTTATTTTAGTGTTACGGAAAAGTAATGCACCCAGAGGAAATCTACCTAGACACAGGGGGAACATGCAAACTTCACTCAAAAAGGCCTTGTCTGGAGATGTAAGACACCTCCAGTGCTTACCACTCAGCCATCTTGCCAAGTTTACTATGAATATTTACTGAAAAAAACTAATCGTTAGCTCATACGTTTATATAACACATCCATGAACTATTAAACATTTTAATTGTAGTAGTAGTAGTAGTAGTAGTAGACACCTTCTTTTACTCTTCACTATGTTTTTTTGTTGTAGCATCTCAGTTCCTCTGAGGCTATATCTACATTCTTCAGTTTGAAACATCTCGTGTAAACAGTGATTTTTGGAAAAATTGTGAACTTTTTAGGTATAGTTCAAGTGATGTTGTTTCATTATTTTCCCCCTCTTTATATTTACTTGTCTTACGTCAGCTTCCTCTGGCCCGTCTCTGTCTCTTTTGTAAACACTCGGCTGTGTATTAATGACAGCACTGTTTGGACTTGGAGTGCGCACTGCTTCAGTCAAAGACGTCACTTCTAAACATTTGGCACTTTGCTCGCGAACCGCTGCGCACTAGCGTCACTCCGCCATCGTTGTCTCTGGAGGAACTTGCAGCCTGTTGAGCCGATATTCTTGAGTGGAAAAAGTGAGTTTCCCCCAGGACTCACAAAAAGATAAACATCCATAAATACAAAGCCTTCGTTCCCACACACAGCTCTGCCCCTCTTGCTCGCGGTGTCATCCTATCTCTCTCACTCTCCTCATGCTCACTTCCTGTCCAATTCTCCTGTACGTATTTCATATAAACAGAGGATTATGCTCCTAATACAGCCTGCTCTCTTTCAATCCTGGCCATGTTTGTCCAAAAAAAAGAAGAAATTCCTATCAGATTTGACGGTATTTACTTACAGATAAAAATCATGTAATTGTAGGCATCATGACGCACTGAACGAATAGCCACATGTGATTGTTTGTAGAAGTTTTGTAACTGCTAATAGTTTGAAGGTTGGCCCAGACACTGACTTACAAAAACAAATTAATTACATTACTGAGAATTTTTTTTACATAATATGATGTCTTTTTCATTATTTTATGAAATGGTCAATCTATATCATAACAAATACTGTATATAATATGGCATGCACATATATTATTTGGTCTTATAGGAATTCAGCCTACTGTCCAGGACTACCTTGAAAAACAGGTTTTTATTCTGAAAGCGACTTTCCTGCTTAAATAAAGGTTAGAAAATAATAAAAACAATTGTACAACCAATTCCAATACAGCTCAACCACTACCACTGTAAAATCATTTTTGAGAGCACAACATTCTTTAGATAAGATAAGATAAGATATTCATTTCAGTGTCATCGCACATTATAGCAGAGAAAAAGAAGGAAATTAGAGCACACAGATTGCACACATCAAACAGGGTCTAATATTTAAGATAACAGATCATGAAATTAAAATTATAAGTAAGGAATGAGATAGTAAAACAGAATAAAATAAAATAAAACTCTGGAGCTAAATTGCACTTGGTTCAGAGGTATTTACTTTAATAGTAATTTCAGACTTGGTCTTAGTGCCCGTTTCCTGACTTGAACTACAATAATATTTGTGTAACCTCCGCTACTTTCAGAAAGTATTCCCTGCTATGATTTAGTAAAAACATTAAGTTGCTTGTTATTGTCTACTTCAGCTCTATAGGAAATTCTCAGTGATGTGTCAGTGATTGAGCTCCAGTGTCATATGGTTAAAGCATCTTCACAATCTTGTAAAACAGCATTCTGTAGCTGCTGAGAGAAACCTGGACTTGAAGGTGAGCCGGGGGCCTTACCCTCAGGCTGTTGAAAGTAGCAGCAGTAGAAGCTGTAGAAGACGCGCTTGGCAGAGTTTTTCTCACTCCTGTCTCTTCTTTATTGTTAACCACAACAGTTGACATTGTTCCCAAGTTGCTGGTCTAAAACCTTTCCACCGTTTTCTCCCACAAACTTGCGCAGAAATGTTGATAGTTTTCTGCTTATGTGTCAGTGGTCATGAGTGTAATCCTGAGAGGTGCTGTCCATTTGCATTGGATGAGAGTGAACTCAGCAGGACCGAGAGCTGCTGAAGGAAAAGCAAGAGGGGGCGTGTCATAGACTGTGACTGTGTGTGTGTGTGTGTGTGTGTGTGTGTGTGTGTGCGTGTGTGAGAGAGAGAGAGAGAGAGAGAGATTATGGGCGGGTTCATGGCATACGAGGGGAATTTGTGTTCACAACTAAGTTCGGTAGTAAGTACAGTAAGTTATCTTTATAGCACCCTTCACAGACTTCAAGCTCTATATTTTATTGTCTCATTACTTAATTAATTTAATGTCACCATCTGTTATCTTAAATAATCGACCCTGTTTGATGTGTGCTATCTGAGTTCTCTTATTCCCTACTTTTTATATTCTGCTGTAATGTGTGCAACGAGGACATTGACATTTTCCCACTGCAGGGCGAATAAAGGTCAATCTCATCTTATCGTTGCAATTGTTGAGGGAATTTGTCTCTCACTAAACACAGAGATGGGAGTTACAGTCAAACATATATTTGTGTCAATGCCCTTGTGTTTGTGGACCTGTAGAGGCTGCAGCAAATACCACTTTATTTAGTCACTTTGTCCCAGATCCTCATGCTGCTAACCTGTGCAAATGTAGATACAACTATAGTATTCTCGCACTTTAATATACAATATTATTTTGCTTCTCTATTCTGCTAAAGTCAGAGATTTTATACTTGCTTTTCAATTATGCTAAAATAAAGGTTTTAAACTTGTTATGCGAAAGTATGCCTCAGAGCTTTTATACTTAATTCTTTCTTCTTCATTATTCTAAAGATTTTAGACTTCCCTCTTTATTATGTGAAAGAAAGAGATATTGTAAGGTTTGTTATATTATTTAGTGAAACATTATTGTTTCATTTATATTGTTCTGTGTGCTTCTCATTCCTATTGCTCCCACTGTATTTTCCCCACTGTCGGACAAATAAAGGATCTCTTCATCTTAATCTTAAATGGAATACTATAAAATCCCTGAACACAAATTTTTTGTAACCAGGCCAACAATCGATGTGTGTAGCTTCTGTGCTTCTGTTGATAGAGAGGCTCCACCCTCTGGCAGCAGACGAGACTGCAATTTGTATTATGTGCAGAGGACCTTGTTTCTGGCAAAATGTTTTGTTTATAGACATGGATTTGACCCAAGGACAAGATAAACTTTGTTTCTTTTTACTTTGAAACATTCAACTTAAAACACTGTACGATTATGCCCAGTATTTTCTTGCAGTGCTTCTTTCACGAATCCATTCATCTTCTTATTCTGCAAAGGAACACATCTTCAGTATAGCCTTTATACCTGAAATCACTCTGAAACTCTGAAACTCTGCAACACAATTTATTTCATCACATTACCTCTGACATTCAGGATCATAGAGCTCTCAGCCTTTCCAAGCGTGTTCTCCAGGACCACTTTGTACTCGCCGCTGTCCTTGGCCCCCACATGCAGCACAAGCAGTGAGCAGACGCCGCACACGTTGGTGATGTAGTAGTTGGTGTTGGTGTTGAGGCTCAGGTTGTTCCTGTACCAGGTGACTCTGGGAGGGGGGTCGCCCTTCACTGCACAGCTCATGCAGCACTCGTAGCCCTGCGGAGCTGTACGCATCTTCAATGGGACGATGAACGATGGAGGAGACTGGAGATCCAAGGAAAATGGTTCTTGCATTTTCACAGAGAACCTCTCTGTAGTTTAAGAAAAAAAGGAATTTTCACAATACTTTGTAAATTATAATTGAAGATTGGCTCACTAACAATGCAATGTAATCTAATTGGTCTACAAAAAAGTTTGAAACATATATATACTTGATAAAGGCATATCATGCATAACTTAAAAGTCCCATATGTCGCTCCTCTTCATGTTTCATATGTGATAATCATTTGGATGATACTTCCTCAACACTCAAAAGTATATTAATATAGCCATTTCCTGCCTAGAATTGATTTCATTGAAATAAGCTATATATGCTTGTTCCCCTGTGAGCATTGCCCTGTCAATCATCTCCTGGAGGCAGGCCCCTCTAGCTTGTGCGGCGCCATCGATGTGAACCGAGGCGTTTTGCTGCCTCTCGAGAAAGAAAAAGTCAAAAACTTGAGGGAATCAATGAAAACTACTTTTGGCATGTGTATGAAGGCCAAATAGCACTGTAATGATGTTTAAAGCATGAGAAAGTTGAACCTCAAATAGAATAACAAATTTGCTCCTGGGTCAAACTGGCCCCAGCGATATTTATCTCCAGAAAATAATTTACAGAATAATGTTAACCAAGTTTTGGTTACAGGCACTTTGTTTATTGGTTGAATACATACAGTGCCTTGCGAAAGTATTCGGCCCCCTTGAACCTTTCAACATTTTGCCACATTTCAGGCTTCAAACATAAAGATATAACATTTTAATTTTTTGTCATGAATCAACAACAAGTGGGACACAATCGTGAAGTGGAACAAAATGTATTGGATAATTTAAACTTTTTTTACAAATAAAAAACTGAAAAGTGGGGCGTGCAATATTATTCGGCCCCTTTACTTTCAGTGCAGCAAACTCAGTCCAGAAGTTCAGTGAGGATCTTTGAATGATCCAATGTTGTCCTAAATGACTGATGGTGATAAATAGAATGCACCTGTGTGTAATCAAGTCTCCGTATAAATGCACCTGCTCTTTGATAGTCTCAGGGTTCTGTTTAAAGCGCAGAGAGAACCATGAAGACAAAGGAACACACCAGGCAGGTCCGAGATACTGTTGTGGAGAAGTTTAAAGCCGGATTTGGATACAAAAAGTTTTCCCAAGCTTTAAACATCTCAAGGTGCACTGTGCAAGCAATTATATTGAAATGGAAGGAGTATCAGACCACTGCAAATCTACCAAGACCCGGCCGTCCCTCCAAACTTTCATCTCAAACAAGGAGAAGACTGATCAGAGATGCAGCCAAGAGGCCCATGATCACTCTGGATGAACTGCAGATAACTACAGCTGAGGTGGGAGAGTCTGTCCATAGGACAACAATCAGTCGTGCACTGCCCAAATCTGGCCTTTATGGAAGAGTGGCAAGAAGAAAGCCATTTCTCAAAGATATCCATAAAAAGTCTCGTTTAAAGTTTGCCACAAGCCACCTGGGAGACACACCAAACATGTGGAAGCTCTGGTCAGATGAAACCAAAATCGAACTTTTTGGCCACAATGCAAAACGATATGTTTGACGTAAAAGCAACACAGCTCATCACCCTGAACACACCATCCCCACTGTCAAACATGGTGGTGGCAGCATCATGCTTTGGGCCTGCTTCTCTTCAGCAGGGACAGGGAAGATGGCTAAAATTGATGGGAAGATGGATGGAGCCAAATACAGGACCATTCTGGAAGAAAACCTGTTGGCGTCTGCAAAAGACCTGAGACTGGGACGGGGATTTATCTTCCAACAGGACAATGATCCAAAACATAAAGCCAAATCTACAATGGAATGGTTCACAAATAGACGTATCCAGGTGTTAGAATGGCCAAGTCAAAGTCCAGACCTGAATCCAATCGAGAATCTGTGGAAAGAGCTGAAGACTGCTGTTCACAAACGCTCTCCATCCAACCTCACTGAGCTCGAGCTGTTTTGCAAGGAAGAATGGGAAAGAATTCCAGTCTCTCAATGTGCAAAACTGATAGAGACATACCCCAAGCGACTTGCGGCTGTAATTGCTGCAAAAGGTGGCGCTACAAAGTATTAGCGCAAGGGGGCCGAATAATATTGCACTCTCCACTTTTCAGTTTTTTATTTGTTAAAAAAGTTTAAATTATCCAATAAATTTCATTCCACTTCACGATTGTGTCCCACTTGTTGTTGATTCTTGACAAAAAAAATATTTTTTATATCTTTATGTTTGAAGCATGAAATGTGGCAAAATGTTGACAGGTTCAAGGGGGCCGAATACTTTCGCAAGGCACTGTTAATAATCCCCTGAAAATCAGTGAGTTGACTTCTCCTCTAGTGCCACCATTAAGACAAACTTTCAAATTTAGAGGACATTCTGGGCTCTCACATGGTGACATGAATGTCAATCGATGTTGGTGACCCTCCTAAAGTTGGTGACATTCTCATTTCACTTTCACTGTCAAAGACTTTTTCCAAAACACATTTGACAGTAAACCTTTTCCCAGAAGACATTTTCAAAGACAGAGTGTGCAGGTTGCAGTATACTCAGAGCACAATGAGGAATGATTTGGATAGAGGACTGTTGTATATTTTCATGTTTGCTCCTTCCTGATTTTGCATGAACCAATGTCTACCAATGTAGTTCATGTAGTACTAGTACAGTACAGAAAAAATCAGTTCAACTTTGGCAGTTGTGAGTACGATCATACACACATCTATGCACGCACACATAGGCCTGTCACGATAGCAAACTTTGCTGGACAATTAATTGTCTCAGAATTTATTGCGATAAGCGATAATATTGCCGTTCTGAGATAATTTTCATCTAATACAATGATAATGATGCAGACACCTTTTCAAAGATAAATAAACTTTTACTTTTAAAGACCACCGCCAGAAGTGGCGGAAGTAGCAGGTGGGCTTTGATGCTAACAAAGTTAAGCTAACGGCTTTAAAGTTCTTCGCCAAGAATGCAGCTCTGCAGCGTATCTTTGTCCAGAGACCTTTCAGAAACTTTATTTAACAGCAGTATGTGTTCACGGAGGTGTGCCATCAGTTTATTTTATTATTAAACGGTACTTCCGCATCGGCGAACACGCTAACGCTAGCTGCGCTAGCACAGTCACTACTAGAGCCTGAATGAGAACTTAGGGGCTGGCATAAGTTCACAACTACTGTGTCTCCCATTGTCAATCCTGGTTAAGTCCTGGTTTAGTCCTGGTTTAGGTCCGGTTTTGGCTGTATTTTGTATTTCTTAGCAATTTCAGTCTGCTTGCTAGACCGCTAATGTTCCCGTGACCACTTTGCGGCTCTCTGACCCGAGAGATACGGAGAAAGCGAGACGGGGAAAACAAACAAGCATGCAAATGGAATTTGTCGCGGCCAGAAAAATTATTGAGCTAATTTTAAATTGACCCCTATGGACGGTAGGAGGGTTAAAAGACGTAATATGGGACCTTTAAAACAAAAAAATTAAACACAATTGACTGTGTTGCATTAAATATCTACACAAACCTTTCTTCTTTTGTGTTTCAAAAGGCGGCGATGTACAGGGCACAGAAAGTCCCATATCGTTTTTGGCAAACACCCTGAAGTTGTACTCCCTGCCAGGCAGGATGTTGACCACAGTGAACCTGTTGTTGTAGAGGTTGTCCGCGACAGTCCTCCATGTTCGTTTGAAGGAGTCTCTCTTAGACACTGTGTAGTGCAGTCTGTCGTCTCTGATCTCATCTGGAGACGAAGTCCAGGACAGGGTCACAGTGCCCGGGGTGTTCTGCATTAGCTCCACCACACCTGGAGGCTTCGGCTCGTCTGATACCCAACAATATTGTGTGAATGGTCAACTATTTTAGTTATCAATACATTTTCAATTGTCACAGAATCTAAAACATGTATGCATATCACGGTCTAGATATTTTAGTAAGACTGAAACAGAGTAGTAATTGCACAAGAAAAATGACAAAACCATTTTGTATGGAAATATAATCATTACTTGATAATAAATATGCTGATGACTTGGGCTGGGCGATATGGAGGAAAAAAAAAAACTCAATATATTTTATAACACCAAAAAAGTCTTTCAAAGTCTTTTTTTAAAATTGAACGTCAGAGAGGAGTCAGTTCAAGTATAGGAACAAGGGTTTTCTTTCACTTTTGTTACCTGTTTTTGAAGAAACGAAACATACTGTATTGAAAGGAAAACTACTCAATTCAATTTGAATATAGCAATAAACTACTTCTGCAACATTTAAGATAAAACAAACTGATGACATAAATGCTAAGTAACTTAATCAAGTTTGTTTCCTCCGAGCCCGTCTCTGCTGCTAGCTAAGCAGCGCCGCTGCTGTGTTGAATGATTGAATGAGACACATGCAAGGGGAGGAGCATATTGTGAAGTTACTCATTAATTACCTGTAACTCGGACCTCAACATTGAAGCTTTCTTGGCCAACTATGTTCTTGACAATGATTGTGTAGATGCCAGTGTCGTTCCGTTCGGACACTGGAATAAGCAGCTGAGAGCCTTTGTCAGAGTTAGTGATGGTGACGTGTTTTCCCAGTGGGAGCCCATCTTTTAGCCATGTGATGTCTGGCATAGGGGAGGCCTGGTGCACAAGTCAAACAGCAAACAACATAAAAAATAATAATAATATATAAATAAATACAAACTACTGTTGTAGTACAGCTGCCCTGGGGCACACTGATAGAAGCGAGGCAACCAGTATGTGCCATCAGCCCCTCCCAACACCAATCGATCTGAACGTACCTCAAAGCAGATGTTGAGTCTGACTGTATACCCAAGTCGCACCACCATAAAGGTCTTCATGTTGCGGTTCTTGAACTTGGGTCTTACTGTAATTATGAATTATGACATCACATACAAGTGCATTGGTGTTAGAATGTTCTCACTTGGAAAAATGCTTAAATGATATGTAGAATTGTAATTGGATGGGTTGCAGATGCTTGTATTGGTGTGTAGTGTCTCTTTACCAGGAGGTGGCATGGCGATGAAGTAGTTGTCAAAGCCCTGAGGTTCTCCATCACCTCCATAATTAGTGGCAATTACTCTGAGCCAGTATGTGGCCATTGCCTTCAAGCCAAGCACTGTGTAAGAAGTTTGAGTAATTGGAGTGCTATTACAGCGGGTCCAGTCAAGGCTTTCAATAGGTCTGATTTCCACAAAGTACCCCTGGGCTTCGTCTTGCACCTCTTTGATTTCCTTAGGTTTAATCCAGGCCAAAGAGAAGGTTGTGTAGCTGGATGAGGCTAGCTTAAGTTCGGTTACTTTGCCTGGTGGTTCTAAAAAGAAAATAAGGAGTTGCTTATTATTTTGGCTTGTATAAAATATATTTAGACTTTAAAGGTGCTCTATGTTACTTTTATGGTTTGGGGTCTGTCACCTGCTGAGAGATATTGTATTTTATAGATGATATATTTAGCATTTAATAGATAGTTTGACGGATAGGCTCTTGATAATGTGACACAGTAATACAAATTACCCTACATATTTTTTTCAAACTGAATTTTTATGATTTGTACTCTTAATCACTGTAGCAGGTAATTTTGATCCGAGCATGAGAGGACATGATTTTGCCTTCTCTATAGTGATAGTGATAGACTTTTGACACCTGAATATCATTAGTATATGTGTTGTATTATGTATTTATATTATTTAACTGGATTAAGGCAGTTAAGACCTTTACATGAGGTGTACCAAGACATCTATTTTTCACTTGTGGTGGAGCTGAAATCACATAAATGTTGTTCTCCTAATGCTGAATTCTAAACTAGCAGAGCTGATGTTTACAATCCCTGCTTTGGGCCGCAGATTCAGAGCTTAAAAATGAGGTACAGCGTGTCTATATTGTCTCGAGTGCTAATGAGGCAAACCAATACCTAATCTTAGAACATCTCCATGGCGACAGCTGACCCTCCACCAGAAAAGTGACTCAGTTCTCATTTAACTTACTCAAAGGGTCTCGTGCGTAAACCGTTTCACATGGAAGACATGGATCTCCAGGCCCTGACAGGTTAATGGCTGAAACCCTAAACTCATATGCTGCTCCCTCAATGACATCTTTAACAGAGAACTTTGTATCTACAAAAACACAAACACACATAATTGATTACATAATGCATACATTTAGATTTTTACTCAATGATTTTTAATATGTTTTTTAAATGTACCTTTAATTGGCCCTCCCTGGTTTACCAAACTCCAGTAATTATTGCCTTTCTTGTTCTTTTCCAGGTTGTATCCTACTATTTTGGTTCCTCCAGTGTCACAGGGAGGACACCAGGTCAGATTTATACAGTCTTTAAAAGCACTAACAACCTTTGGTGCTGACGGTGGACCAGGATAACCTGTTGGCATGTTTTAGTACAAATGGTTTTAGTCCCAAGTTTTAGCAATATTATTTACACTGGAACTCCTAGAGCAGTCAATTAGACTGCTTTTACTTTTGAAAGTTAATTACTCTGCGTATGTACATGTTTGGTCTTTTTAACTTTGTGACTTTATCTGGTTGTGTGTAGTTTATTTCTACTCCATTATTTCTATAACATTTTCTTTTCTTTTTGAAACCTGAGCAGTTAGTTACCATAGTTACCATACACACACTGATTACTTTCTACAAGTTAGCATTTGGTAGCCCTTCAAACAAACTGCATTTCAAGTTATACTCACCCATCTTAGCCCTCATTAAAAGTGAGCAAAGGTAAACAATAGAAATAAAGAACGTGGAAAATGTAACTATTTTGGGGGACATTCTTGGAATTCTCTTGGTTTGAATGGGAGCTGTCAAAATGGCAGCTCTGGGAGTTCTAGTAGTTTCATAATTCTGGGGGTCCTAGTGTTAAAGCCAGACATTCGTTTATGTAACCAATACCTACAGTGCTAAACATGTATGTACTCAACATTATGTGCATTTAAGAAGTTCAATTTTTTTTTTTATTGTGTCCTGCAGATAAATTGTAGGGCCCTCTTGTATTTCTGTTTGGCTTGGCTTACAAACAGCACATAGACATTAAACTCTGTGCTAACATTTTAGCGCCGTCTATCTAGATTTGTTTCTGCTACAAATGTAACTCAGGCGTTGCAAAACAAACAGGGCTAATTAGGCGCATTAAGTTTATTACTCACGCAGCACACCAGCTGGTATGTCCTCCGTCTGCAGGTAATCACTTATGCCTTCTGCATTCTTGGCTCGGATACGGTAACAATACCTCCTTCCTGGATCCACATCCGAATCCTTGTAGCTTGGATTGCCGCCAGGAAAGTCTCCCAGATTGGTCCATTTATTACGGCCTATTTGTTGACGCTCAATCATGTAGCTGACAATGGGACAGCCGCCGTTGTCCTTTGGTGGCCTCCATTTAAATTCAACTGATGTCACAGCACTTTCCATAATGTCAACAGGCCCCTGTGGTGGCGTCGGCTTATCTGGAAGAGTGAGACGCAATCAGCTGGAGTTAGCCACCACAATCATTCGTTTTGCGGGGGGAAGATCGATTCTGTCCAGTATTGCAGTATTATATGCACGCTATCACGTCAAATTTAATCAAATAATTATCCGTTTTACTTTTGGTTTTTCTGAGTTTAATCTGGTAATTTACATTGGAAGTTTATGTCCCTCTTTGATGTCTGCTTTCTGTGACTCTAGTCTATTGTATTTGAATGATTTAAGTTTTGTGTTGGGAGATCATCATTCATGTGAGAGCCTTTTCAGAGAATAACGATGTCTTGTCCTGTAATAAGGTCCAATCTAATATGACATTTGATTAGTCTCAATTTTTGAAATACTTTTGAATTATATGAGTAACATGAATCACAATATATCACAGAATCGATCAATACTTTCTGTATTGCATATGTTAAGAATGGTAATAATATTTTTATTTGGCCCAATTATCTCAATAATATTGAATTGCCATATTTTGGCCAATTCCCACCTATGACAATCATGCACAAACAACTCACCAAGAACAATAAGTTTTGAAATTGCTTCAAAAGTTCCATACTCATTTTTCAGCTTGAGCTTCACCTCCCCACTGTCTTTTCTTTGGCATTTTGTGAGACGCAGTTGGCTTTCGGTCTCGGAAGTTTCAATCTTCACATTTAAGCCTGGTAAAAGCTTGTCGTCTTCTTTGTACCACTGAACGGTTATTGGAGCACCCCCTGAAAAAGGCAGTTTCCACTCTGCAGTTTCTCCAGCTTTGATTATAACGGGTTGGGAGAATCTGCCTAAAGCATCCAAGTCAATTTTGGGTGGATCTAGAAGTTGAATGTGCAGAGGTTATAATGAATATTCAAACATAAAGCAAAATATTGAGAATGTGAATTGTTGTTTCATTTGGACCTTGAATAGTGAGAGTAGCTTCTGATTTTCGTCCTTCAGCTTCAAAACAATACACCGCTGCATCCTCTTTACTGCAGCAGTTAATAATCAACCTGTGGCATGCTCCATCTTTAACGATTGTTACTCCATCCTCCTCTGTTAGCTTTGAAAATAAGATAAAAATCAAATCAAATAATTGTACAATATAGTATCCTATTTATTGCCTGTCCATTCTAAGTTGAAATCAGTCATAGGACGTCAATTGAAAATCGTTTTTCACTCTTTTCTTCTCCGTCTGTGTCCCCTTTATCATATATGTCCAGGGTTTGGCTGTAGATGTTTTATTGACCAAGTGGAGGGTCAGAGCAGCAGACCAGCAGTGCACCCCAAAAAAAGCCACAGAAACGTGGACTATCGCTGTTACGGCCCTGGGGCTGTATATTGTTCCCTGATTAGATTTGGTGTGTTTTGTGTGTATGTGTGTGGCAACCCCTTCTGTCTCAAGATACCTGGCCTGTGATAGGAGAACCACTGGCCCTCCCACCTCCCAGAAGTTCGTGACTCAGGTGCTGGTTAGAGGAGCAGTGATGCACCTGGCTATTCCAGCTTCACACCTGGAGTCACTTTCTCACTTAAATGTGCAGGGGTCCATATCAATTCCATTTTAATATATTATTCTTAAAGTGATTGTCTGGAGTTTGTCAGAAAGAGAGACAGAGAGGTACTTGATTTGAAAAATCCCCCTTCCTTTCTGATTGGTCTACACCTACGTTTCCGCAACACTTTTAAATGTTAATCCGAGAACACATTATACATATACATTATTAATACACATGCACAGAGGTTTTCAGAATTATTTGTAACATTTTAATGAAAAAAATTATGTTTTTATGCACAAAAAAAGCGATCGCAGCAAACCCCGAACAAGCTATTATCATGAACTGCACATTATAGGACACATCTGCAGAGGATCTGATTATGGATATAGGTTCAGTATCATACATAAGTAACTCAGCGCGGATGTTCAGAATTCTTTGTTCCGTTTTTATGTAGTTCCAGAGCCTAATAGAGGCTTGATTCAGAGGTTCCGTGAAAACAAACAACTGAGCATGCGCGCAGCTGCGAGCATCAGCGCCGATGATTGACAGCCCTTGGCATGACTCGATTGGTTAACCTCGACGGCATCGTGGATTATGAGCTATAGCTAAGAGCAGGGTAATATTAGAATTAATAAAATGACTTATTTTATATCAACATTTAAGGCCAGGAGGTCAATTTAACACGTTTCCTAAAATTTGTAATTAATTTAGAGTTACACATTATCACTTTAATGTTGAAGATACAATCTCATTTATGATCTGTAAGATTATAGGATGGACTGTTGAACCAGGAATTAAATATATAATGATTCCACAAATCCAGTGTAGACAAATATAGGAATCTTACCAGTTTCCCGTTTTTGTACCACTTTCCCGCCGCTGTTTCACTGCTGAGTTTACAGGACAGCTCCACTCTCGCTCCAACATTAGCTGTTGTGTCGGACAATCCACTGACAAACTGAATTGTACAATCTGTAAAAAAATATATTTTATGTTAAAATATGTATTTACAAAAACATTTGACATTATAGTTTGCCTTTGACCTGTTGTTGTGTCTGGGACCAGGGGCTTGGCTCTGCTCTTCTTTTTATCGTCTTTGTTTGCATCGCCATCTTTGTCTGTATCATTTTCATCTCCCAGAAGGTTCTTGTCTTTACCGTCTCCATCCTCCCCCTCAGTTTTTCCTCCAGATCCTCCAGATCCATCGTCACTTGTTCCAACATCACCTTTCTGTAAGTGTGAAAGATCCTCTCCTGATTTGTCTCCTTGTTGACCTCTTTGGGCATTTGGATCAACTGTCAGAAAAAAATGAACGTTTTTTTAAAGTAATGGTGTCCATCGTACGCAGAATCATTGACGGCTCTGCACTGCATGGCTCTTTGGAGCCATTAAAATAGTTTGTGCAGTGTTCCATAAAGAGGATTTTACCAATATATGACAAATGGGCAAAATGAGCTGTGTGACAAAAGGAAAGATGCAAGTTAAAAGTTGAATACTTTTGGCCCAACTTAGGTTCTGGAGAGATGTGTTTTTATTCATCTGGTTCTGTCCAAAGAAGATAATCCTGAGAGCCATTTAGGAGATAGTGAAATACTCGGCAATGTGAGTAAAGGAACTATGCACTTTCATGATCTTGCAAAATAGTTTTCTGAACGTTTTAGCTTGTTTTATTTATGCACTTTTTGAGTTATTATTTTTATTTTTTTTACTCCGGTACACACTGGGGACTTTGGACTTTTGCACATGTATTGTGATTTTACATAAAATTAAAATGAATCTTATTTATCAATGTTAGTTAATTCCATACATTTCTTGTTATTAAGCAAATGCAAACTGCTTATTAATAAATTAGGCTTATTTAGCAACATTGTTATAAAACACTGCTGTCTTAGGCCAAATATTTACCTTCAACTGTGAGAGAGGCTTTACTCGACGTGATCCCAGCGATCCCATAGTAAGTCCCAGTGTCTTTAATCTCACATTTTTTCACTTTCATGGTGTGCGTGAGCTTGTCCTCAGACACTGTGATCTCATATTTGTCCTCATCGTTAAGTGAACCTTTCTCTGAGGACCAAGTGATTTTGTTCAGAGGCGTGGACAGGACACACTGGAAGACTGCATCCTCGCCTTCAAACACTCTCACATCTTTGAGCTGAGCAGCGAACTCTACAGCGGGGACTGCAGACAAGAGCAAAGGGCTGTTTTTATTGTTTACACTTATCAGATTGTGTTATCAGCAGGAGATATACTTTTAAAATCTGTTGTAAGTACGTTTGCGTCTTCCACATCGAGCTGATAGAAACCAGCGTCTTCTGGTTTAAGATCTTTGATGCTGAAAACATACTTTGTTCCGTCTCGTTTCAAACAGTGCTTTGCGTTTTCATCGTCACTGTATGAAACCAGAACACCGTCCTGTGGAGACCGCGCATTAGTTTGCATTTCTCATTTTATTGCATGGGATCTTACCTTACCTTGTACAAGTTAATGGCACTGTTGGGATCTAACAGCTTCATATCGACGCTAAATTCAGCTTTTCCATTGGGGTTCACTTCAATTTGTTTAACTTCTTCCACTGCCTCCACAACCTGCAAACGGCATTTTAATACTCCTGATTTCCTTTCCCTTGAAGATTATAGTTTTGAATCCTTCCATTGCTTGTCAAACAGCAATGGTTGTAGTTGTAATACAATCATAGAAGATTTTACAGTTAAATAAATAAATCATAGTATACATATATCACATCTCACACAATTACTAAATGATTTGAAAAAAATAAACCCTAATTAGTTACGATGAATTGTTATGTCACATATATAATAAAATAGGGCTGTAATAATTAATTGCAACTATGTTTTTTTTCAAATAATTTAGTGATTGTGTGATATGTGATTTTAAGAATCCAATGCATAAATGTCTAAATGTATTGGTAACATTGTTTAAAATCAAATCTATTATATCTGTCTTCCAACGCCTTTGCTTAAACTTGTTCTGCGTCAAAATAACATCATAATCCATTTGCGTTCTAAACAAATAATAATTGTATGAATGTGGTGTGATTTCCAGACAATTTGTTTTCTACTTTAAGCATCCTTCGACATCATTAATCAGAATTTATAGTCTATTATTCACTTTCAACTTTGAGCATAAGAATACATTACCAAATACACACTGTGTAATATTAGCTTCCCTTTTGTAATCTTATTTAGAAATGGATTGGGTTTAAAACTGCACCTTGGCCTGCTCATCCTCTCTTTCCTTCTTCAACTGTTTGAGTCTCTTGAGCATCCAGCGGAAGTCAGTGACACCAAAGTCATAGCAGATTTTCTCATAGTCTTTCCTCGGGGCACAGAGAAGCAGCTCCAGCAGCTTTGGGTCGATCTCGCCCTCTTTGGGGGGTGGAAGCGGCTTCTTTTTGGTCTTTACCGCCCTTACAAAAGGGGCAAAAGGAAGGCTGGGTTATTGACAGCTCCAGGGATAACACAACCAGACTGACAAAATCTTACGTTTTCTTCAACATTGAACGGAAATCTTGTGGTCCTTGATCATCTGAAAGTAAATAACTCAATCAATCTTTATTTATTGAGCGCTTATCCTACACAAAGCGCTTCACAGTTCACATCACACACAAAACAAACACCAAAATCACCATTAAAAACATTATTAAAATCACACAGGTCATTGAAAACATTCAACCATTAAAATATAATAATAAAAGGTTTTAAAATAATAAAGAAAAATGCACAGGCAGTAAGACCACTCTTAGCCTGGATATAGAAAGTTTACAAATAGATGTTTAAAACAAATTCATAACGCTTCAATTAATACATTGTTAGAGTAATTGAGTCTCATACCATTGTCACCCGTTTTCTTCGCTTTCACTGGAAACATGAAAAGATAAAAAAGGGTTAAACGTGTGGTGAAATGGCGTCTGGTTGTTGTATGTGCTCATTTTTTTTTTTTTACCTGGGATTACATTTAGAATGGCTGTACTGACAGCTTCTCCAAATTCATTGGTGACAGTGCATTTGTACGTATCGCTTTGCTCCGGCTGCACATCCGGAACCTAATACACATGGCAAATACAGTAATTATCAGTAATCAACTTAGGGTCGTTAGGGCAAGGGCAAGTTTATTTGTATTGCAGAGTTCACACAAAAGGCAACTAAAAGTGCTGAGCAAATCAAAATAGAAACAATCATACATGCATTTAAATCATAATTAATTACAACACGAACAAAAGTGACATCTTTTGTCAGGGAAGAGGCCTGTCTCACATTTTCAGGAAGACTGTTCCAGATTTTATCAGCATGAATTTGAAATGTTTAGTTTTCACTCTAAACATCTCTAACTTTAGCATAATAAAAAAGCAAGTATAACATCTCGAGTTGGGCCTGTTTGTTCTGTCTCCCTGTGATGTAAGTTAAATTTCCACCAACTTGTGTGAAGTTAAATTATCTTAATATTTGTATACTTCAGTTATGATGACTCAATGTGACACCTGACTAGTATCAATATCAAAACATGCCTACACAAAACAACTAGTTTTAGAATATAGTGCATTTGATTTTTTTTTCATACCTCTAGAATGTACTCCTTTGATCTTTCATCCAGTCTGACTTTGTACTTCTCTGCATCATTCATGTCGTCCTTATTCCTTGTCCAAATTACTTTCGGTGCTGGAACCCCACTCACCATTGCTTTAAAAACTGCCTTTTTTCCTACAAAACCCCAAGACAAACATGTGTAAAGTAAAACAATTCGATATCATATTGTTATTATCCCCCAAACTTATTAATTCAACTCACCTTGTTGTAAGGTTAACGGCATGGGTTTTCTGGTGAAGTCTGGAGTCGTCTTTCCTAAGGGGACTATCTCAACAAACTGCGTTACCATCACGCCAGGAACCTTGGATCGCTTCTTTATGGCCACTTTGCATAAAAAATAGTCATTAACATACATAATTTTTTTTATAGGTCAAGCTTGTAAAAATGTGATTTCACAGGGAGTTATACAATCTTATGTACAGACATGCAGTATTGGGTCCAAGGTTCGATTACACCTTCAGTTATTTCTGTGTGGAGTTTGCATGTTCTCCCCATGTCTGCGTAGGTTTCCTCTGGGTTCTCCGGTTTCCCCTATTGTAAATACCTATTGTAAATACATGTACAAAAGGTCTTGCATACGCCCCCTGTGCACTGGCGACCCCACTTCCATCTGTGTGGAGTGACAGACAAATGCACAGAACAATTGTTAAGTGCTTTGTAAAAGGCGCTATATAAATAAAGTTGACTTACTTAATTTATTATTAATAAGCTCTTAATTGATTTTTTTATAGGTTCAATCCAATCCAATCCAATGCACTTTATTTAGCACATTTCATAAACACAGTTTCCAAAGTGCTGCACAATCAAATACTAAATAAAACAAATCCATAGTCAGGCTAAATTCATACAAGTCATACACATTTAATTTCTTAAGTTTATTGGTGTTTTGTAAAAGGGAACTCCCAGGAAGGTGCATTAGCTTATAGGCGGGACCCCAAAATAATACTATTTTTATTATCATTATTAATATTTATTAAGGAGACAATAAGTAACATGTAAACAAATGCAATATTTCATCTTTATACATTGCTAAACCAATTTCTAAACATTTTACCCATTCACACACGTCTATTGTAGTGCAGTTGTTCTGTAAGCGCCATGTGGCTTAGTATGGCTAACCTAAAGAATTGCCCAATTTTATCAATTTGAATGAATTCCAGTTTATAGGGTCCTCGTATTTGTTGTAGTTCCACAAGCGGCCACATGGAGTCATCATTTCCCTTCAGAGGTTTGTTTTGCCAGCCAGACAGAACGGCTTCAATAGACCCAACCTCAAATCCCTTGCATTAATTTCCCCACCTTTCTTTAATGAGGAAATCTGATTAAGATATTTATATTCCGACGTCCGAGACTGTAACATGGACATGAATGACATTTCCAGTCGCTCCACAAACTGACTCGGACACGTTCAGATGCAAGTTCAAACGCCACCTGTTGAAATGGCAGATCACAGCTGTCCCTCTGTCGACCACTTCGCCGTGCCTTTGCTTTGCTGCTTGCATTACTTTGCACAGTGACTCAGTGCATGCACAGACTTTACCACTTATATAGAAAGGGACAAATGACCATAGATGAAGATCTCGTGAGTCAGAGGTGTCAAACTCCTTTAGGCCGAAGTAAAAAAGACAGAACTGGTCAAGGCCTGAAAGAATAGAATGAATTTCCCTTTTTTATATGTGTTTATATTATGATGGTATTTTGACATTACTTTGATGTGACTTGACTTTCACTGTTATTTTCTCTTCAATTATGTTTAGATTAAACTAAAACTGGACCATATAAAAAGTTTAACACATTTTTTATATTTATATTTAATGATATATTTAACAATATGACTTCTAATGATGTGTTGGGTTAAAATTTACATCACATTTGTTTAGCTTTCATCAGAAAATAGTTAATGTACAATATGTCTTGGTAGCCCATTACCATCAATGCTGCCAGTCGATGGTAATAATAACAATTGGAAATCCTTTAAGGGGCCACTAAAAATTGTCTATTGCCGTCTGTCGTATACCGCTGTGGAAAAGGTGATATTGACAAAATCGGTCTAGTTTGATTGAAGTAGTCAAAGAAATGTGTAACAGCTATAACTATTTTTCCACAGAGTTCATGAGGTGTATGGCCTGTGGGAAAAAGCTCCTCTTCAGTCTCTCAGTTCTTGCCCTAATTGAGTGCAGCCTTCGTCCAGAGGGGAGCCACTGGAACAGCTCATGATGGCGATGGTGAGTGGTCTCATTTAATTGATCTTCGCTTGTTTAAAGTAAATGATAGGGTCTTTATACAGCAGCAATTTCTCTGTGTGGGCATTACGATATGCAGATTATCTAAATGTTGTTTTGACTCTGACCTTTCATTATATTCTCTCTTTTGGCCTTTAGTTATTCCAGTCTTGCAGCTTTAGTCAATCACTCAAACGCTTTATATTTTATCAAAGGTTTATAATGTGCATAAAGATTGTTCATATGATTTCTTGGGGGATAGCCGGGGCTCTATTCCAAGGGAGCATTCTTGTAACCTTGTTTGTGAAGGATGTTTCATACCTAATCCTTGTGTGGAGACAGTCAGGTGTCGGCTCGTGCATACCAATCTTTTCTCATACTTGACCGAGCAAACGACAGGAAACGTAACGTAACATTCAATATAATTTTTTCTTGTATAGCCCTGAATCACAACAGTAGTTATCTCAGTGGACTTAACAAAACTGTTTCAAACTCAAGAAATGCAATGATAAAAACACATAGATCTATTTGTCCATAAGGGGCAGATGACCAATGTCCATAAATGTTGATCAAAGTCCATAATGTGCTTGCTTTGTCCATGCTTTGAAATAACTAAGTTAGTATTTTTTATTTATATAGCACATTTTTACAGACCAATTTTTCCATTCTCTCCACACGGTGATGATGGAAGCGAAATGCCAAACAGAATGGAGAATCACGGCCCCGACCCAACAGCATCCATTCACTCACTCATCACAATCAGACCTATTGTACATGTTTTTAGTGGTAGTAGAAACTAGAACACCAGGAGGAAATCTACGCAGACACTTCACACAGAAAGGCCTGGAGGTAGAAATTTAACCAACTTTCCAACTGAAAGGGCAGCTGAAAGAGCCTTCTAATACAAGATATGAAACAAGTAAAAGCTTATATACTCTCATTGTTTATAATACTCACAAGACGAGACTCACATACATTTTCTCTTTCGGAGTAGCACAGTAAATACATCACTGAATGTATAGTTTACCTGGGGCTGGAGGATCCTTCGTCGAACTCATTCTTTCGGCAGTTGATTTTCACCAAAGCACAGAGAATATTGTCCTATAAAGTCATATGTAAAAGACAGAAAAATATTATTTTTTATAAAGCAGTCTTCTATCTTTTATTTGAGTGACCGTCATAAGTTAATCAGTCATGTTTGTGACACAATTGTGATATTTTATTTTTGAATTTGACATATGTACAGCTGAAGGTCTAAAAAAATGATATACAGACAAGACTGTTTTATAATTTGTAGCGTTGTTTCTACCAGAATAGTGTTGCCTGATGACATCATAGTGACGGGGGGTGGGCTTCTGCTAGACACTGTAAATGAGGAATGTGAAATCCCACCTACAGCACGACTTCTCCAAGGGTCAGATAACAGGCGGCCATAACTGAAGCTCCAAACTTAGACAGAGCCTAAATGTCTCAGCATCAGACCAACGGGTGCTTGTCTCTAGAATGCTCCGGCTGCAGCACGAGTTACAATAATGGAACAATTGTGGACACTCACAACAAATGTATTATTACCAACATCATGGTCAACATACATGACATTTTAAAGCTGTTATTTTTGTTATAACCATTCTATTATAACCCTTTACTATTTCTAATTCTTTTAAAGCTCAAAGTAAAATGCGTTTCACACATTTAAAATCAATCCACCCCAATTGGCATAGAAAATCTACCCTTCATCCAGTTCAAACTTTGTTGATAAGCCTATGATTTTCCACAAGTTGTAAAAACTGCAAGACACGGTGCTCTCAATTTTGACTGAGTTTTTTTTTAGTTAATTCAATATATTGTACCTCAAACATTGATTATCAAAAATCACTGCTTAGAATTTTCTAGCAAATAATTCATTTACAATTACTTATACAATAATGTACATTATTCAAATTTGGAAAGGAGTGGGAGGAAATCGGAAATCTTCCATATATTCCCACTCCTGTGAATACAATATTGGATTGAAAAAAACTTAAACATCAACACATAATTATTCCTCTAGTTATTCTTAATCCCATTTAAAGTTCTTGGCTATTATTTAATGATTTTCATGTTGTTGAAAATGTTGAACAGTTCAACTATATCAAATGTACTGTGCAACGTGATAGGGCTTTACAATGGCACAGTATAAATAAGGACGTATAAGCTACAATTACTGAAATAGTTGTAAGCATTCCCAGGTGAGGGCCAAGCTGGAGACTTTGATGTTCCGTTGATCATTCGTTGAAAGCCCCTGGGTAGGTCACTTTCTCAGTCCAAACTAAATTCTCTCAACTGGATTAAAAACATAGAAAATTGACTTTCCTCATATTTCTGCATATAATACCAACATCATCTCGAGAGTAGGGATGAAAAAGGACAGTTTTTACACTGCAAAAAGTGATGAAAAACATTTCAAAGATAGCTCAAAATTGGCAAAATGTTTTAGCTCAATCTGATCTGCCAATGGGACATCTTGTTTTGAAAATGCACAAGAAATGTCTCTCTTGGAATGAGAAAATAAAGCAACAGGTCTTGAAATAAGACAAAATGGCTTTGTCCCATTGACACATTTTGACCCAGTCAGAATGTACTCAAATTAAGATAAAAACCACTCGATTCAAGAAATGATCAACTCATATTTAAACATTATTTGCAGTGTATAAGAGTACCACTCAAAAATCAGTCAGATAAAAATTTTATGTTCTATGACAATATATCTGATTTTTCATTATTTATTTATTTATTTAAAGACAAACAAAGCATAGATGTAATAAAGAAGTTTACTCACCCACTTCTTCAGCCTTTTATCTTGGGCAGTCCCTCTTGAGCTCTTCACACTGTCTATCTGATATTTGAAAATGAGACTCCCCTTTTTGTTCGGTGATAAACTTTGGGAGTGAATGAGAGCCCTATGGGACAGATGAAGTCGGTATAAAAACCCATTATATGTCTGTGGTAAAGGTTGGAGGTTCCTCTTACTTATCCCTATGAAACCGATCACTTTGCACTAAGAACTGGAAATACATTATGACCCATCATTCAATCCCCTATGCATCTGGTCACTTGTCCTTGTGTTGACAATATGCATCACAGGGAATTTGATATTACCCCATATTAAGCATGAATTTAAATATTTTGACCTTTAATACAGCTGATCTTAGCACAATGACAGTATACTTCTGCTACATCACTCTTAATTCAAAGTCTAGCTCGAGCCAAAAACTTTGTGTTGGCAGCTTCATAATGTCTCCTGTAATAGGATGACACTGCTGCAGACTTTATAGACCAATAAATACTCATATGAGAGCATTTATTCAGTAAAACAATCTCAACTTCATGAGGCATCGCTCGTTCCAATTAGCAGACAAAGTTTCTCGCGGCATGCCGATAGCGTTTGGTGAACCGGTGACATTATAAAAAGATATTAGCTTGTGATGAAGGGATGCGTGGCACTCATAGCCTGCAGTTTCTTTTTGAGGTGACATTGTCAGAGGTTAAGCTAACGTGAATTATCCGGACAGTTTGACTAGTCACCTTGCCCTCATAACGGACCACAGACGCTCTTAACTGCAGGAGAACTCTGACCTGGAGGTAAGAGCTCTCACATCCTCTAGGTGCCGTCGCATCTGTAGCACATGTGTTGTGTGTAGAAACCAAATCGTATCATTGTATCGGCCAATGTGAACTGATTTTTGGTCAAATATTTAATTTTTAAATGCTCCAACCATGTCTTTGTGATACCACTAGTTGTAAAATCCTGAAAATGTGAGACAGGTTTCTTCTCTGAAAATCTGCAAATCCAGATTGAAAACAGTTCTTTTTCACGTATGGTATTTTGATTGTTTTATTTGAGTTGCCTTGTGTATGAACTGAGCTATACAAATAAACTTACGTTGCCTTGCCTAAATGTAGAATTGTAGTGACAAACCAAATGCATCCTTTATCTCAAATTTGTTATTTTTTATCTTATACATTGTTCAAGAGTTAGGATTTTATTAGCAATTTGTTGTAAAACCACATTGGAAAAACTGTGCAAGACAACCCCAGGCAGAGAAGATGGTACATACCAGAGCTCTTGCCATATTCTTACATACTTCATACATATTAAAATTGTAAATATACCAACACAATGTTTAAACAATACTGCTGCTTGATTGTATAGCTATGCGTGTCTATTTGCATGTGTATACTGTAATGTCCAAAACTTCACTACATAAACTGAATATTCTAAATTCTTAAAAAAATATATATATCTACCTAAATGGTAAAAACCTATAATAAATAATAATTCAATTCAAACATCTGTTTTTTTCTTTTCATTCACTCACCTTATAGCTCCCCTCCGACCCGGTTCTCTAATTAGTTAGAACCTTCCTTTGAGTCACCCGTACACTGCAAAAGATTATAAAATATGAGGCAATTGCTTGATTTTTTGTCTTAATTTGAGTACATTCTGATTATTTATTTTGTCATTCCAAGAGAGAAATATCTTTTTAAAACAAGATCATATTGCTTGTCCGATGTTTTAAGGCAGTCATAATCTGCTCAAATTAAGAGAATTTTTTCTTATAGCGTCACATAATACAATAAAATAAGGGGGGAAACAATTTTTGTATTTTATTTAATTTTGTACATATTTGTAAGTGCAGACATCCGCTCACATGCCGTATTAACAATAATTCAGTACAGTATATTTGTCGGGATGTTAAACTGTCGAACAAACAAATTACATGGATTTGCTGATCATGAAAAACACATTAAAACTTCAAATTCGCCATTTTGTCATCCTCATTGCTCGTCAGTTTTAAATAGCTTTAAAGGCCATTTGCTGTCTATGTTACAGTCTGATATTTTTGGAAATCTTTCTTTGACACTGAAGACGAGAAAAAAAATCCAGTAAAACAGTTTTAAAATTACATCAACATCTCAACTGCCAACTGCACAGTGATGGAGTATTTTGGAATATTCTGTACTGAAGGCGAGCAAAGTGTCTTGAAAAATAAGGTCAATGAGAAAATAGGGAAATCTGAAGACAAAGCAAGTTTATTGGGATAACACAGTTCATTGCACACATTGAAAAAAGGGAGGAAAATCAGGGCCAAAACTGCTCAAATTTAAGCACAGTTTGATCTTAAAACAATATTTGCGAATGGGACAAGCAAAATTGTCTTGTTTTAAAAAGATAGAAGAAATGTCTCTCTCTTGGAAAGAGAAAATAAAGCAACAGTGGCAAATCTTGTTTTAAGACTGTCAGAATGTTTGATTAAAGCAATTATGGACTCGTATTTCATTATTTTTGCCGTGCAGTTTAAAATGCTTAACAAAACAAAATAGAAACAATCACACAAGGTATTACAATCATAAATAATCACCGTACATTAAAAAGAGTAATGATAAAGTCCCTCATGCCTGAATCACAATATTAGGGAGATTCTAGCTGCATACATCTGAAATCAGCGGCTGGTGCTCTGTGACTTGGGGTGTATCTCTGATGCGGGAGGAAAATAGATGGATGGATAAATTTGAAATGTGAGTATTGTGATCGGGATCTTGCATCTTGTCCAGAGTCCGGCTTCCTCTGTGCTGCTCGACTGAAACAGGTGCCTTGGCTCATGACATGAGAACACCCCAGAAATCCTATCCACTATAAGAGTTTACAGTATTTCGGAAAGGACAGGACCGGTGCCCATATAAACAACATTTAATCTATCTTAGTCACTGTCTTCGTCATGAGGCTTAACTGAGCATCTGCATGAGCTTTTTTAAGCTTTCATAGCTGTAAAAATGTAAAACATATCACATTTACTATAGTACGTAAACCGACTCTGAGAGGTACAATTTGTTCAACAACTACGTTCAGACATTTTAGACTTGCTTCAATGTGTTAAATCTTAAGATATTATTTTATACTTGCTTTTTTATTAAGCTGAAGTTAATATTCAGCATAGTTATTATTATAAGTTGTTGTTCACTGTGTGTACATCATTCCTACTGTTCTGTAACTGTGATGCAACACTGAGACGAATAAAGGATCTCTTTATTATTATTTATTTAGTAACGTTTCATCAGTAAAGTTGAAAGAATGATTTTGGCTCATTACATTTTTTATGCCATTTAGTTTACTTTGTTGTGCATTCATCATTATATTTCATATAGTGTTATTAGTATCCCTATAGAATCAAGATTTTGCAAATCACCTGATGCTTTCACAGAACCGTGCTGACCTGACTCCAGCAATGCAGCTCCTCTGTCCAAAAGGGTTAGGGTTATGGTTCCGGATAAATCAAAATGAAGTCCAGAATCATTGTCTATCTGTGTGTTGTCTTTATGATGTGAATAACATTTAGATCATAAATGCAGTGTAATTTGACTGAAAACTGGGACTTGGTTCAGTTCTTGCTTCAATCTAATAAATACCACTCACGTAGCAGCCATGCCACTTTGGGTGCTCCATTGTGGAATTCATTCATATATTTGTACATTAAAACAAATTATCTGTATTAATCCAAACAAATTTAACAATAGGAACGTTGCCACTTTTTGTTTTGCCCAAATACTTGATCTTGTCTGATTCACACATTCTTTGTTGACTCTAGCCTTAATCAACACATCCCAAATTCTGTTTTTGTGTTTTTTTCCGAAAGTAAACTTTGGTACATTTGTACTGAATTATTTGCTCCGAACTCTTTGCACTTCTCCCATCACCTTATTTTTATCATGGGGACAGAGTGGACAACCATCTTGGTATTGTGTTTATGTGTGACAGTGTGGAGCCTCTGAACAGGCTGTTATAAACACAGTCATTGACACCGCTCTGACGTGTTCCACTGACCACAGGCCTCCAGCCCACGCCTTGTTTACTGTCTATGCTCTGACAGTGGTCAAACAGCAATCCTTCAAGAAAAAACAGTCAAAGTTGAGGATTTAGGGAAACTAAGATCTATATAAGATTGTGTAAACTCTCAGTCGTACAGGGATTATTCAAAACAAAAGAAGGTTGCTCATTCATCTTCTTTACTGGAAAACCTGCAAACTGAAGTACAGATGATGAGTGTTCAACCTTCCTTTGTTTTTGAGATCTATTACTTGTTATATATATATATAAATACTATTACTCCTCCATCACATACAATGCAGACAGTATAAATAAGATAATGCGGTAATATTGTCCCTCTGGCAGCAGCAGAATGTCACAGGATTACACAAGAAATCAGGCTCTAAAGCAGACGGTGCCGAGCTGCTGCTGATGTGGATTTAAATTACACAGAGACTTCTTCAAAACCAGTGAACAATGTGTTTCTGACGCATGTGTTCTTGAAGTGTCAACAAAGCTCATTATGGACATACACATAAATACATAAAATCCTAGATGTTGACTGATCACAAAAACTGATAACAAATACATTTACAGCTGCTTGATTAGGGATTTGTTTTGCCTTGATAGAAAAACAACATTTGCCGATAGGACAAGAATAATTGTCTTGTTTTTCTGTGTAACCTTCAGGATGTAATTAACAACATGACATGTTCCATTAGACTTTTTATTTTTGAATTTACTCAAAATACCAGGAAATGAACATCTCTCAGCAAAACAGAAGACACCATGTGAACATAATTGGAAGTGAATTTCAAAGTCCGTCTTCACGAATGCATCTGATAAGTTTGCATTCAATAGGACTGAGTAAAAATAACTAAAACTCACCAGATGTAGACATACAAAAAGTACACAAATATTGATTTTTTTATTGCACAATGATCAATAAAAAACATAAGGTTAAGTCATGATTAACTTACAAATATATTCTGCAAAATGATAAAATATAAAGTAATTCCTTCAATCACACGTCGTATTTTAACATGATTTACCAATGGAACAAGCCATAATGTATGTCTTTTATGTAATAATAATTGGGATTTCTATTACTAAATGGATTAAGATAAAACAAGGCTTTATTTGTATCAAAGGAGTTGAGTTGTTATATAAATCTTATAGTAAAGAAATCTGAATTAACATTACATAGACATAAGACTAAGCTTACGTTTGGCAGTAAGGTCAGCATTAGACTTATATCTGCGTAAGGAAGCGCTGGTCACTTTTTTATTGTGTATGTGCACATTTACTTATGAATAAACTCACACTTTGATGGTATTACCGCTCTTGGTTCTTGTGGCTGTTTATTGTCTTTGCCTGTGCAGAAAGTCCATAAGAGTTTGTTAATGCTAAATGAAGTAAAACCCCATCCATCCATCCATTTTCTACCCTTTAATCCATTTCTGGGTCAGGGGGGTGGCAATCAGAGATGCCACCCAAGTCTCATAGCACCAGCCCCTCACTGACCCTCTGCAGGTGGTGAGTCCACAGGAGGACGGCTGCTCTCTGAGTGAGAGCATAGCCTTGATCTTTCAGTGGGGGCTTTGGGCAAAGTGGGGTTAAGTGTCTTGCCCAAGGACACAACGACAGCAGTCATCAGTGGGAGTCGATGGAGAAGGTGCAGAGGTGGGAATTGAACCCACGACCTTCTGGCCTTAAGGCCAATGCTCTACCAACTGAGCTACTGTCGCCCCTATGAAGTAAAACATATAAGTATATTCTTGCATTAATTAATACATTTTAAAATAAACATTATACAATCCTACAGTTAATGATAAGAATAAATGCAGCCTAATTCAAGCATTTCTTTACTTATTTATTCACATTTTGTAGTGTAAATGATTAACTCTTTGAATATTTACCAGCAACATATCAAACCATGGCCTCACACAATCACTTTCAATGTTTATCACCATTCGACTATTTCCATTATTATCATTTCAAAAATATGATCAATCTATTTGTTCAGTCTGTTCGTTCTTTAAACTTCCATCTCTGCTTCATTGCTTCAACACAATCCTCCAGATCTTATTCTGTCGGAGAAAGTACAACATGGGAAATCCATCATTTGTAGACGACATTGACATTATATCACTATCATTCCTGTACTGTGTTTGTTTTTCAGTATCATTGTTTACTGTTGTCTTTTTTTTTTTATAGAATCAGAATTCTTTTGTATGTAACAGGAGATGCAGACAGGTAAGAAAAAGGTAACACATGGATATAAAGGCATGCATAAACAATCCCTCAGTTTACTTCACACTTGATTCCTTACTTTACACTTGACATGTATCTTTTGTTTGATTTTTTATAATGGATTGATTTGTTTATTCCGAAAAAAATCATTTGTTTATACCCAGACTACAACACATGTATAAGCTAACATTGTAGACAATTTTATCCATTGAGAATCCTTCAATCTGTCAATTCAAGATCTGGAGGCTTCTGCGTCATGTGAGTTTAGTAACAAAGTCTTATTTTGGCCTTTAGCAGAGCACTCAATTTGACGGCTTTTATGTACATTTTGGCTCTTCATAACTGTGTGACTTTATCTGTTTTTAAATGTACTCTATTCAATATATCATGTTTATGAAATTATCTCGATCCTAGACTCGGTGCAATCTCAGCTTGGAGCAATTGCTGGTTACCATAGCAACATATTGTTTACTTACAGTAGTTATATTGTATTTACCAGTTTTAGCATGGACTCATTTCAACTTAATTACAGACTCTAGGTCAATTTTTTTATTAAAGATAAAAAAAACAACAACTGTATGAATCACTTAGTTTGAATAAAAGTTGTGATTTTTTCAGAATTCCATACATTTGAGTGAGTCTCAGAATTATGGGAGTCCAAGTGCTACAATATCTTCTACAAACGTAATAAACTAAGCTAAACACCTGTGAAGAAACCAGACAGCAGCGACTCCCTTCCTCACGTACAGACAAATCTAAAACAGCTGGCTCATCTAAACATGAAGGAGCATTGACTCTACACTGAGCTCCTCCCGTGTGTGTGTCTATAGCTTGCTGTGAAATCAAACTGTAGATCTTAGGCCAGAAGTAAAGTTCTGCAGTTTAACAATACAGATGGCAAATACAGTATGTTTTTAATGATCAAAATTGGAATCTTTCATTAGCATTCATTATGACGTTATGCTAAGGTGTTTTTAGCTTGAGTCTTACCTTTAACAACAAGCTTAGTGGAGCACTCTGCCTGTCCAAACGAGTTCACGGCCACCACTTTGTACTCGCCGCCATCTTTGACCCCGACTCGCAGGATGTAGAGGGAGCAGACGCCGAAGGAGTTGGTCATGTAGTAGTGATTGTCAGAGTTGATGCAGATGTCATCCAGGTACCAGGAGATGTTGGGGGTCGGGCATCCTCTCACGGCACACGTCATGAAGAGTTGGTACCCCTTAGGTGGGGTGTGGACTTTGAGAGGAACCAATATGGAGGGTGGTCTCTCGAAACTCACTTCAGACGAATTGAGTCCGTTTGCAGCAACAGGAACTAGGCAAGGCAAGGCAAGGTTATTTGTATAGCACAGTTCTTACACAATGTAACTCAAAGTGCTTAACAAAAAAAGATGGTATCGATACAAGGCATTGAAATCATAAATAATCACAGTACATTAAAAAGAGTGAAGATAAAATCCCTCAGTTGTATGCCCAGGTGAACAGAACTTTTTTTAACCGGAATTTGAACATTGTCAGAGAAGAAGCCGGTCTTACATTTTCAAGAAGACTGTTCTAGATTGCAGCTGAATAAATCTGAACTGCAGCCTCCTCATGTTTAGTTCTGACTCTGGGCACCAGCAGGAGGCCAGTCCCTGTGCTTCTCAGAGTCCGAGTTGGTTGATATGTCGCTAACATGTCTCATACATTGAACCAGAAAATGTACAATGGTTGAAATGAAAACAACAACACAATGTACCCTAACTAATGACCAATCAAGTGTCACAAATTCAGTTTTAGCTAATGAGTAGTGTGGGCAGGAACAGGCCAGCGTAGCTCCCAACTCTTTGTTTGCTAGGTAGTTGCTACCCTCAAATTTTGACATGTATATCCATATATATTTATGGATATTGTTCATCTGCCCCTTATGAACCTTTTGTATTTTTTGACTTTGAACTGTTTGATTCTGTGATCTGTGTTGGCGAATTTAAGGTTGGGTAAAGTCCTCCGAGATAACTACTGTTGGGATTTAGAGCTTGTTGTGGATATTAAGCCTAGCGTACATCGACAGGGAAACTGGAGACAACTAGTTGCAAGGTGGCTTGTGGCAACTGAGAGTAGATGATGGAGATGATCAGTTGCCAAAATCGGTCGATGTGTGCGCTCTTACAACTGGAGATGAAAAGTCGGTCTCCAGTTTCAGTCAGTTGCCCGTGTTCTACGTTTCGGCAACTAGTTGTCCTCAGTTTCGGAGATATGACCGGATGTGCGCGCTCCATGCGCCGCTCCGACAACGTGTGTGTATTGTGTGTATTGCGAGCCCTACAGTTTATGTCAGAAAACACACTGTAGTTGAGGCCAGTTGCTGTCGATGTACGCGCTGTTATTCCCCAGACTGGTCTGCCACTGGGAGTTGCCCGTTTTCGTCAGATTGTCGATGTGTGCGGGGCAGCAACTCATATGCGACGGATATAATCAGTTGCCAGTCCGATGTACGCTAGGCATTAAGTAACACTTGTTCCATCCATGTATCAACATGTTAGAAATGATGAAATTCAATATTTAATCATGAATTGTTTTTGTATAATTGTTTTAAATGTTAACTGTTTTTCAAAGAAAGAGGAACCCAGACCCAGACCCGCCGCTTCTCCCATATCTGGGGCTAAGGATGAATGTTCTCCTCTTTGCACATTTGATATAATTGATTAACTGAGTGGTGTTAATCAGTTGGAGCAGAGAAAATTCAGGAAAAATAGGAGCTCAAATTAGTTAATTGTTTTAGTATTAATTTGCACCAGTATCTAATTTTAAAGAGAATTCAATATTATTTGTTTGTACTCTTGAATGTCTTGGTCTTCCTATCTGGTCAAATCTTGAATCATGCAATAAAAAGCTATACAAAAATACATTGAATTAAGTTGGAATGAATTGAAATTTGGCTCCATGCTTCCCACTCAAATATCCTGCTAGCTCTAAGAGTCTTATGTGACGGGGAAAACTATGGGTGATGTCAGAACTCAGTCAGACCAACGGTTCTGCTGCCTTTGGTCAAGCTAACTCACCTCTGTTGTTGTTTACTCCCCAAGGAGGAGAATGCGACGGATCTGAGAGCCCCATGTCGTTCTTGGCGAAGATCCTGAAGCGATACTCTATCCCAGCCCCGATGTTGATGGCCGTGTAGCTGTTGGCGAAGAGACGGTCTGCCACATTCTTCCACATCCGGTTGTTTGAGTCGCACTGGGACACCACGTAGTACAGGCGGTCGTCCAGCTCCTGGTCAGGTGAGGGGGCCCACGAGATCAACAGTTTCCCATGTACAGTCTGCTGTATCTCCACTGGACCAGGACTCTTTGGTTCATCTGCAGATCCAAAAATACTTTAGTTGAGGACTTCTCCAAGATTATTATACAGATATTCTTTTGCTCAGGCTGCGTACAGCAAAGTAAGTTATTTTCTAATAAGCACAGATGGGCACTACCCTCCCAGCTAGAAATGACTTTTTAGCCATATTTGTTGACATTATGATTGATAACACAGACACTGTTTTCAGTCATTGTTAGGTGAAGACATTTTTTGTCAAATACAGATGTTTTCTACTTTCAAATTACATTGCTAAAAGTGATGAAAACAAAGTCAAATTGCTTGAATGAGGCTAAATGTAATTTTTCTTTGAGCACATGCTGACTGCCTTAAAACTAGATTTGCCAATCGGACAAGCACCATTATCTTGACTTAAAAAGATAGAAAGAAATGTCTCCTTTTGGAATAAGGAAATATACCAACAAAAGAATAAAGGGCTTTGTGCCATTGGTAAATCTTTTTTTAAGACAGTCAGAATGTATTCAAATTAAGATGAAAACGTATTAGTATATTATATTATTAGTTCCTTGGCAGAGCATAATGACAATAGAAACATCTTATCGTAAATGACCCTGACTAGATGTTCTCAACACTGTATATTGCCCTCTGTAACATGACAGCTTGTGACTCTCTTGTGATAGATTCTGAAAGATGTCTAAGCTTTCCAGAAATATCATAATATTTAAATGATTGGTGGTCATTTGGAAGTGGTCACCTGAAATCACTAACCTGAGAAAAAACAGCCTCAAAATGTTTCATCCTCAGCCCAGTTCAGCAGGAGGGAACACAATCCTGATCATTAGCATCACATTAGACTAACACCGTAGACATTGAGTATGTAATTCATGACCTTATCTAATACAGGGATCAAGAGTTCCGAGCTTCCGGCTCAACCGCGCGGCATTGTGGGTCGTTTTCTCAAAAAAGTGGGCATGAAATCACGCACTCCTATTAGATTACCTGTTGCGAGCGTGATCTGTCTCTCTTTTTTCCAGCCCATCGATTGTTTTAATCATTACAAAAATCACCAATTTCAGACATTTAGAAGGTAAGGTAAAGATTTTTTCATGTAACAAAAAAGCAATGTATTTTTTTCTTGTGGTTTTAGATGTAAACACAACCAACTGACGATAGAGCTACACGCAGCTTATGCTACTGTACTTACGAGGAGCGAATGCTTACACGCGAGCTTTATAAACTTACCCAAAGCTGTACTTTGGACATAGAGCCCTCAGAGCGTTTCATGAACTTATAAATAAAATTTCTGATCAGAGCATTCAGAGTGGGGACATTATTAAGAACAAACAGTGAGCGGGCAGTATAGAGAGGTGTGCAGTAGGCTTTAAACAAAGTTATTTTCACTTTATCTGTGCGGAGATTTCACATGTGAATTCTCCTTGCTTAAGTGTTAGCCTGTTCATACAGCTTACAGAACTGCCTCTGAATGTCATCGTCATCACTGAGGTCACTCCTGATTACGTGCCCCAGGTATTTCGCCTTCTCTACATTCAGAAGCTCCACACCAGAAAAATATGTCCAAAGTACAACTTTGGGCAAGTTTATAAAGCTTGCGTGTAAGCATTCGATCCTCGTAAGTAGCATAAGCTGCGTGTAGCTCTATAGTCAGTCGGTTGTGTTTACATCTAAAACCACAAGAAAAAAATGCATTGCTTTTTTGTTACATGAAAAAATCTTTACCTTACCTTCTAAATGTCTGAAATTGGTGATTTTTGTAGCAATTAAACAATCGATGGGCTGGAAAAAAAAGAGACAGATCACGCTCGCAACAGGTAATCTAATAGGAGTGTGTGATTTCATGCCCACTTTTTTGAGAAAACTACCCACAATGCCGTGCGGTCGAGCCGGAAGCTCGGAACTCTTGATCCCTGTATACATTCTGCCAAAAATAAAATAAACTTTGCACAAAATTCTTTTTTGTGCAAAACCCTTTTTCTCACGGCCAATCAGATATGGCTTACTTATTATATGACTTGGACCGTACGCGCGCTCTGATTGGCTGATTACCGGTCTTATATTTTCCCATCTCAGACCGTTAGACAATTGGTCCGAACAGCGCGTATCACATTTGATATCTTTCCTTGGACCAGTACCATGACAATCAGTCTGCAGCGCGTATCACAATTGATTTCTTTCCTGAGTTTCCTCGGTAAAAAAGAAATAATGGGCGACAACTGGGAGCATTCTCTCAGTAAATTCTATTATCGGACGAGTTTGACGAGCCAGAGGAAGAAATTACAGAAAATAACGAAGAAAAAATAACTAACAGACAAGATGAGATTGACAACTTTGTTGCAGACCGGAAAGCTAAAAACACGATTAGGAAAACCAAGTCGGAGATCGATATTTGCATAAATTAAAAATAGTCATATAATAAAACATTTATTAAAGGACAACTCACCCTCAAATCCACTTTTTTTTGCTGATAAACGGTATAAATGAGTGTCCAATAGTGTTGTCTACATATCCTGGTCATAATCTTGTCACTTTGGTGCAAATTAGTTGAAAGTTAGACTTTCTGCCTAAAACCGTCTGTGAGGCGCCATCTGCTGGCGACCTGTATTACTACATTTGAATTTTGAATCTGGCGCCAACACTGGCACAGAAGTTGGACCTGACGTCTGCAAGTTGGACCTGACGTCAGCAGCCCCCCGCCCAGAGCAATGTAAACGGCCCAGTCTCGTTCACGCCCCCTTTAGTCCTCCAGGCTACGCCCATTTAGAGGAAGATTTGAACAGGAAATGTGAGTAACGTAAGCTCCGAGGAGCTTGTGTAATGTTGTGTAATGTTCTGTCGCAGGTTCTATTGCTTCACTGTGCAGGAGCGGGAGATCACTTGTCTTTTCCTAGTGGAACATGGCCACGGACTAAAATTTCTCTCTGCAACAAGAACCTTGACCTCTGTCTGACCACTGTAATACTGTAGTGTTTATTTTACTGATCTAAACTCTTCATTTAATTACCTGTAACCCTAACTTCGACATCAAAGGAAGCCTCTCCCACAGAGTTTTTGGCAACAATAGTGTAGACAGCTGAATCGGAGCGCTTCGAGGATGGAATGACGAGCTGAGACATTCCTTCTGTGTTGATAACATTAATCCATGGAGATATCGGCTCATCCTCCTTCAGCCAGGTGATAGTAGGAGGAGGTTCAGCCTGGACAAGAAAAACTATCAATGAAAATACAAGCAAGAGCACACACTGCAAAAATACATCAGAAATTGGTCGAATTTGGCAAAATGTATCTTAATTTGAGCATATTTTGACTGCCTTAAAAATGATTCGCCAATGAGACAAAGACAAATTATCTTGTTATAAAACGTTGCAAGAAATATATCCCTTGAAATGAGACAATAAAACAACAGTTCTTGAACCAAGATGAATTTTCTTTGTCCCATTGACAAATCTTGTTTTAAGACTATACTCTTATGAAGAAAATAAAACAATCAATTACGGCAATATTTTCCTCATAGTTTCATAATTTTTTGCAGTGCAGAAACAAGTGTCACTATGGATGCTCTGTATACATACCTCATAATTAATTTTGATTCGTACTGAATTGCCAGCTCTGACGACCATGAAATCTAAAGGGTCTTTGAAAGATGGCCTCACTGTACACAGAAGACAACATGTAGACCAAGCTTACTGTACATTGGTGAATACATAAGGCATAATTACTCACTGTTGGGGTTCTTTGCACACACCATTTCCGAAGGAGGGCTTGGGTCTCCGGCTCCGGATTCATTAATGGCTGAAACTCTGAACTGATATTCACTTCCTTCTGTGATGTCTTTCACTGCACTTTTTATGTCTGCAATTATATATTATTGTGACAAATCCAACAATTAAAAATGATTAGCATTCAGAAAACAAAAAGACATTTCAACTATCTTTTACGTTTTCTTTTGCTGTAATTAATAATTTGCTGTTGAGTTGTAAAGAGTGCATTATACAAAATAATATCAGTGAAACTAATTCAAGATTTCAGGTTAGTCTCTAAAAGTTATAAAGATTGCAATTGATTTGATGGTTGACATTATGGTGGGAATTTGAAAAAAAAAAAAATTCGATAGTATTGCAATATTTGGGCCACATTTTGATATTATTGCGATTCTTAACATATTGCGATACAGAGAGTATTGCAATTGGATCTGGCAATATAGTATGGAGGACCGTGGCTGCCAAAACAATAAATATATACAGAAATAAATAAATAAATACATTTAAAAAAGATAAAATTTGCTAAGAAATGCATGCAATTATGAGAATAAGTGCATTTATTTCTGTATTTATTTATGTATATATTTATTTATTTCTGTATTTATTAATTTATATATATATATTTATTTATTTATTTATTCATACATTTATTTCTGCATTTATACATTTATTTCTCTATGTCTGTATTTATTTTAGTATTTATTTATTTCTCTATTTATTTATTTATTTTTGCATTTATTTATTTTTTTCTCTATTTATTTTTTTCTCTATTTATTTATTTATTTCTGTATTTACTTCTGTATTTATTTCTGTATTTCTCTTAATGATATGCAAATCATGGGGTGGGCCGGGATGCCTCTGCTGTAAGCTCATTGGTTAATCTTTTTCCTTGCTCCATAGCTTGTCCAGCATAGGCGGTCATGTTGAGATCACTGTGTTCTCGCTATACTGTAGTGTTGACTATATTAGTTTCCGTTTGGATCAGCTACGTAAAGTCCCGTCCCGGCATATGAAATCCACGCAGGGGCACATTTAGTATTACTATAAAGTACATAGATTTCGATATTCAAGTAGCCCTGGCGCACACTGATCATTACATTAAACATAATCAACAGCAAAAATGACCACACCAACTACAGCCTGTAACATCAGTCCTCGTGGCAGAAACGTCAGTAGGCCTACAGGCGTTTCTCGGAGCTGAGCCTCCTCATCAACACATCCTTCCACTCAGACTTGAACCTATGAGTGAGGTCCTTTTCAAAAGAAGCTGAATGAGCTGGGCCTTGCGTCTGTGCAGAATACTGCGCCGCTGCAACAAAAACACGTTTCTGAGTGTGGAAAACGACCTGACTCTGGGCCTGTAGAACGAGCGCCTGTATCCCCCCCCACACACCCCCCCACACACTCCCCTCCACACTCGCGCCACCGTTTGTACCATGAATATAGCTCGGTCAGTGCTGTGGCCGCGTCCACTTTTCAGTCTCTCTCAGCCTTCACTGAAAGCTCCAGTGTCTGAGTGTAAAACACACACTTCGAACGCGGGGTTTTTCGGCGGACTTCAGCGCTTTGTAGTAAAATACACCCGAGCACCTGTCACTGCCTTTGCCAAAAGCCTCTCACGAGCCGGACAGGGAAATGAGCATAAAGAGGCCGACATCGTGGACTCTCAGAGCGGAGAATGATCGTTAATACTCCTCTATCATATCAGCTATGTTTTATTTTGTGCCCAGACAACACGGGAGCCGAGCGCAGTTAGAGGGAACCGTGCCTGAGAAAGAGAGAGAGGGATGAAATGCCACCGGTCCCCTCTCTCTGTGTCATGGGTGGAAATAGTTACTTGTTGGAGAGTTTGGGCTGGTCTTTAATCGGGCAGAAAGTGCAAAAGTAACACTGCGCAAATGAGTGATACGTAGCCTATCTTTGCCCAATTTGTAGTAGCTTCTCGTGGTTATACGGCTTATACCTGCGTATCGCGTAGGCTACACCACTAACATTTTAGGAATTTGACCTGTTCTCTCACTTCTTTTCATGTTAATAGTCACATAGAACACAGTGATCTCAACATGACCGCCTATGCTGGACAAGCTATGGAGCAAGGAAGGCAAGGCAAGGCAAGTTTATTTATATAGCACAATTCATACACAAGGCAATTCAAAGTGCTGAACAAAACAAGAAAGCATTAAAATCATAAATAATCACAGAACATTCAAAAGAAAGCTAAAAGTATAAAATCCCTCAGCTGTATGCACAGCTAAACAGAACTGTCTTTAACCTTGTCAGAGAGGAGACCTGTCTCACATCTTCAGGAAGACTGTTCCAGATTTTAGCAGCATGAATCTGAAAAGCAGCCTCCCCATGTTTAGTTCTGACTCTGGGCACTAACAGGAGTCCAGTCCCTGTGCTCCTCAGAGTCCGGGCTGGTTCATATGGGACTAACATGTCACTAATACAGTATATTTTGGTGCGAGGCCATGGAGAGATTTGTACACAAGCAGAGCTGTTTTAGGCTATATCCACACGAAGACAAAACGCTTATAATTTCAGAAACTTTTTCTGTAAACACGGAGTTAGCTCAGTAAATGTGTGCGTCCATATGAATGTAGTCAATACGCCTGAAAACGCTGTGAAACTATGCCAGACCTGTTGGTGGCGCTGTGACGCAATGACGGGATCAAACCCAAACTTCCGTGGGCATGCGCGGAATTTTGTAAACAGACAACATGGCGAGTGGGCGAGCTGGTACTACATTAGTATGGACGGACGATGAGGTTGAACTGTTGCTTCGGGTCACACTGGATTACAAAACCAACAAGCTACATTGTTGTTGTCATTATTTTCTGAGTGCGGCGCATGCGTGCTTTAACAAGAGGCGGGGCGATGACGCAAGCGTCTCAGATACATTGCGGAGAGGCAGTAACCACGGAGCGGCATATACGGAGTTTTGAAATCTTTCCACTCTGGGACCTAGTTTCAAAAATGTTCGTTTACACCCCCCCAAAACGCCGGCCTCGTATGGACGATACACTGGATTGATAAAGTATTTTTGCGTTTAGGCCTGAGCTTGACTTCGTGTGGACAGGGCCTTAAAGTCTATTCTCTGAGCCACAGGAAGCCAGTGCAGAGACCTGAGAACTGGACTAACGTGGTCGTACTTCCTGGTTCTAGTCAGGACTCGAGCTGCTGCATTGAAAAAGACTAACCAATGACTTTACAGAAGAGGCATCCCGGCCCACCCCATGATTTGCATATCATTAAGAGAAATACGGAAATAAATAAATACAGAAATAAATAAATAAATACAGAAATAAATAAATAAATACAGAAATAAATAAATAAATACAGAAAAAAATTAATAAATACAGAAAAAAATTAATAAATTGAGAAATAAATAAATATATGCACAAATAAATAAACAAATAGAGAAATAAATAAATAGAGAAATAAATAAATAAATAGATAAATAAATAAATACAAAAATAAATACAGAAATAGAGAAATAAATATATGAATAAATACAAAAATAAATAAATAAATACATACATAAATAAACACATAAATAAATAAATATATAAATAAATATATAAATAAATAAATACAGAAATAAATGCACTTATTCTCATAATTGCATGCATAATTTGCAAATTTTTTCTTTTTTAAATGTATTTATTTATTTCTGTATATATTTATTGTTTTGGCAGCCACGGTCCTCCATAATATAGTGCGATTAGTGCTCTCCAAAATATCATATTTTAAAAAAAAATGTAAATCAATATTAACATATATTGATTTGCATTAACGTCACATTTCTTTTCTTTTTTTTATTGTGAAAAAATAGACAATACAATACAAGTGTAGACGTACGGACAAATACAGCAAGACAGACAAGACAGACAACAGTGTGGATATTTACAGGTGGGTGTGTGTGTGTGTGTGTGTGTGTGTGCGTGTGTGGGTGTGTACAGTAGTGTGTGGGTGTGTATGGGTGCAAGCTCCTATTCTGCAAATTTGTGCATCCACCCATCACCCTCATTGCCCCTATTTTCCCTTCTTATTTGTGTCCCAGTTTGCGTACATGTGTCTAAAGTGGTGCATTAAAAAGGAAACTGTGGGAGGTTGTCTACTTGGTGCAGGGGTGCTGTCCAAGGGCATCTCCCATGTCTCCTGTATTCCTAGCCTTTTTTGTTTGTTTTTGTTTTGTGTTTATACAGTATGTATTATTGTTATTATTAATATTTCCCCTGTTTTTCCCTGTGCTTGAGTTATGGTGCATTAAAAACACAGACAAGGGTGGTGGAAGGATTAGGGTCGGCTGTGATTTGATGAGGTGAGTTGGATGGGAATGGTCTTGTTGATAGAGGAAATACTGAGGGTCTTGTAGGATAGTGATTGTAATGTATGACAACAAGTAGAGACTGGAAAGTGTGCTGCTAAACAAAAGGGGAAATATGGTGATAAATACAGTACTGTGAAAAACAAGGGCTGTGGGCACCAAGATGATAATAATTGTATATATATATATATATATATATATATATATAATTGTAAATACAATGTAAAACAACTTCAGGGAAGAGGGAGAAAAAAAGGGGTCAGACACAAAATCGCAAGATCAGTGAAATAAGACAAAAAGGTAAAGGGCAACACAATGATGACATGATAATACTCACACAAATAGTAAGTAAAAGAGTTTAAGAGTAGAGGGAAGGGGAAGGTGTGAGTTGGGGGGTGTTGGATGTGGGGGTGGTCATATGTTTTGAGTGTTGTCAGTGCTTGTGTTAGGCTCTCAGAGGGCAAGTAGTCAACCGGTGAGAAAGTGTAAGAGTGGGTTTGATGGAGAGAGGTTCTATAGTGGTATGAGTAGTTGAGGTGGGTGAGGTCACATTTCTTATGGTCTGCACATGTTGCATGTACAATCTTTTGGACAAACCTTCAATCGGCTCATTGACTGCATTGATGGCAACCCACTGATTTGTGTCTTTCTTCATCTTCTCCAGCAGATACCCCACAATGGGAACTCCGCGTGTGTCCTCAGGGGGAGTCCAGGTCAGGTGGATGCAGGTCTTGGTGGCACTTACAATTATTGGGGCTCCAGGCGGCCCAGAGAGGACTGAAGATGAAAACAGGTTAAACATATAAATAAGGGACACTCATGTGTACTGAAACTAATGATATCCCGGTGAAACACGTTTGAAGAGTAACAGCATTACGTTTTCTACCACTAGAAACAAGTTTTGTTTTATTCCGAAGTTGAAAAATATGGGCTGGAAACGCAACAATGATTTAAAAAAATGTAATTTCCCTTCAGAAATGGTCGAAAATAATTCATAATCATAAAACTGAGCATGATACAATGACATCACACTAAAACAGGACTGAGGAGCTGAGGAAATCTGAAGCCGCCAATAAATATACAGGGATGAGAATGGGACATTTAAAAAAAGTCTAAAATGTCAGCCCATGCAGGGAAAAGCGCCCCCCTTCAGCATGAACATGTTTTATAAAATGCACTAAGAAAAGACAACTTCTAATGAATTCTAAGTCACTGTGGCAATTGCAGCGCACACACTTGTCTGCTCCTCCGCTCACAGCTCACACACAACGTGCTCTCTTCTCGCACAGTATGAGGAGGTGAACGTCTGCGCCCATCGCTCCGTACAGTGCATCACTCCCTTCTCTTTCCTCCTATCTGACTCACTCGGATTTATACACCGCTAAAGTTATTTCACAGCTCCGTATATATCAGGGGTATATATCAGGTATATATATTCAGGGCTGATCATTTTCTGCTGAAAAAGGATATCTATATACACATCAGCGATAGAGTTGTTATGTCAAACATTTAGATCGGTCTCAAATTTCACAATCATCCCTATTATTATAACATTCCTAAGAGATTTAAAGGGTCTTAAATTAAGGTTTTTGCCCAAATAGTTGAACTACTCACTCAGCACTCCTGCCATAATGCTGTCGGTTGTCTCCAGCGGGTCGCTCATGCCCTCAGGGTTCTCTGCAAAGATGCGATAGTTGTACTTCTTCCCATGAGTGACGTTTCTGTCCCTGAAGGTGGTCTTGTCAGCAGAGACGTCGCCCAGCTTAGTCCACAGGGACTGCCTGGCGTGTTGGCGCTCAATGATGTAGTGCGTCACAGCTGAGCCCCCGTCGTCTTTGGGAGGGTTCCATTTAATTTCAATCACAGTCGAGGTGGTTTCCACAGTTTCCATCGGACCATCGGGGGGACCAGGGCGATCTGGACAGTGAATAATGCCACTTTTATTAGCGAGCCACAAGGTTGAGTGTCATAAAGCACATTGACTTATTGATGCCCAATTCCCAATGCAACATCAAAATACTACCGTAAGTATAAAAACCAGAACAGGGATTTCCACACTTTATCAAACCAAGATCTACTTTTAAAGCAGCCACTGAGCTGTGAATGACCCCTGATTTATGTGAGCTGTTACCATTCAGAATATCACATTTGGTTCCATTCATGTTTACTTGATCATGTGATTCCAGAAGTAAACTGATCATAAAAACAAATTAACGCTGTTATAAAGAGTAACACGTTTAGTTTCATACAATTTTGAACAGAAATGCAGAAACTGAGGAAAATCATAAAATCCATAGTTATATCGTATCAAAATCAAGATACTGTATCTTGCGTGAATATCGCGAAATGGAACCTCTATTAAGGATTTAAACATGTATTTAACAATTTTTTGGTCCTTTAGTTCAATTCCTATCAAATACAGAAAATGTGTTTAAGTGAGTGGGATTCAGCCGTGAAAGCAGATGCATGTTCCCCATCACAGACTTTACCTAACACAATGAGCCGAGATGTTGCCTCGATTGCCCCAAAAGGGTTTTTGAGCTGTATTTTGATTTCTCCAGCGTCGGTTCTCAGGCAGTCTTTAAACAGCAACCGACTGTGGTTGGGCTCCCTCACAATCTTCACTCCGCCGCCATCTTTGATTTCAGAGCCGTCCTTGAACCAGCTGACCACCAGCGCCTCCTGCGGTGGGAAGGGCATCTTAAAGGCAGCGTTCTGACCCACACGGACCACCACTGGCTTGGAGAATTTGTGAAGGTCATCTGGGTCGAATTCAGGTACATCTAGAAAATAGTTTTTCAAATACATTGTTTCATTAATTTGGAACAGTGTTTTTTGAGGTTACAGTTGGTTTAAAGTTTACCTCCCACTGTGACCTTCCCTTGTGTACTGAGTTCGCCTGGAGCAAAACGGTAAACTCCTGAGTCGTCATCTTGGCAACTCGCAATCCGTATTTTATGAGTAGTTCCCTCTTTGAATACAGTGATTCCTCCACCTGAGGATAACTGTAACAATAGTTGTACATAAGTAAGAGGCCAAAGAAAGGGAGTTTCACATCTTCGTGTGATGAATGCCTAAACTGCAAAAAACAAAATTAAATATGAGGTGATAATTGCTTGATTCAAGAGGTCTTGATTTGAGCACATTCTGACAGTCTTAAAATAAGATTTGCCAAGGGGACAAAGCCATTTTGTCTTACTTCAAAATTTTTCACAACTAAGGGAGACGTTTCTTGTATCCAAGCTAGCGCTTGTCAAGTATGGTAGGCAAATCGATCACAGACTTTAGCCCTAATTTAGAATAATGCCTTCACATTTCAAGCTTGGAGGCTTCGTCACAGACTGTGTTATTACAGAAATGACGTTCATGTGTGCTGGGAATTGGATTTGGTGGAGGGCCTTGTTATTGCCACTCTTTCTTTTATTTTAAGTCATTGAAATTAAAAGCACTTTTGTGTTTTGCACAATCTGCCAAATGTGACATTTTCCAGTGTGAGATCAATAAAGTCCATCTCCCCTCATCTTATCTTAGGGAGTGGTTTTTACTCTGTGCTACTCGGGTGCTACTGCTATGTTAATCTGAATCCTTTACTGCACCTTTAATTTAATTGTACGTAATATACAGAATCTAGCACAAAAGAGACTATCTTTTTCTGATTGATCCTAATTATGCCAATTGTGAATATAGTAGTCTACTTAACCGGCTCTCCGTCCTTGAACCAGGCACCCTCACATTCGATGTTCATCGTCACCATTAACTCATGAGGGCTTCCTCGAAGTGCGTACGTATCAGACAGTCCTCCGGTGATACAAGGCTCTAAGAAACATACGCAAAATTATTGTCTGTATATGTATTGTGTGGTTGATGTCTGAGAAGGAATGAAACACCAGTGCCATAAATGCACTTCTCCAAAAAGTAGAATATTGTCAAAACATAGATGCATCGTCCAATCACAAGTTGAGGCCTTGAACTTTGATTCTTTATTTTGTCACTGTGTGTGAAATGTCCAGCATCCATTTTTTTTGTGCACCTCTGCATTAACCGCGTCTTCTGCTGTAGTATTAGAAGTCTATTTGTACATATCAGCATCAAGTACAGTTCATCTATCTATTCACAAAGCAACATGCAGTGACATTAAAAGCAAGCACCTGGAGCATGCAGCGTGTCGCAAGGAAACGTCTACTAAACATTTCCTTGTTTGAATTTACTCTGTTTACGTGCTATCACATTTAACAACAAATTAAATGTGTATGTATTTAGTCTCGCCTTTTCTATTATTTCATAGTTCATTTCAATTAATAGTGTTATTTGAATGCAAACAAAGTAGACAAATGTTTATAATACATTTGTGATTTAACGTTTTAAGTAAATCATGTCCTTCATACCACCCACTGCTTCTGCATCTTGATTTGCCGAGCTGATGGCCTCTCCGGCTGAGCGGGCAACAACAAAAACCAGGGAAATGTTAACAAAGTTTTCTTTGAAGACACTCCATAGCTTCTTTCTATGTAAACACTGGCAATACTGTACAACAGAAAATGTCACCTTTTGAGACATTACCAGCCGCTTCTGAACCTGCAAAATATTTTACACACAGCACAGAGACAATATAAGCAAGACACTGGCATGTCAAAAGCACAGACAACATATTCGTACAATGTTAGATACCTTTAGATTTGCCGACAGTGCAACACATATACTGTTAAAGGGAACGTGAAAACGTTGTCCCCTTGTCAACACTCTTTTTATACATTCCTTAATTCTTACCATTGACTGCCGCTGGCTCTGGAGCTGCAAGACAAACAAGCTAGTTAATTCTCTGATGTCTATGAGTACTGAAAAAAATGAATGGACTAGAACAGTAACAGATAATTTGATCACCTTACTTTCTGGACTATAAGGCAGTCAAAATGTTCTCAAATGAAGATTTTTTTTTCTCCCAAATTTGAGAATTTTTTGACTTACTATTATTACAATTACAATTAGTAAACAAGTAAACAGTGTCTAACTTTTGGGTTTGGGGGCCTCAGGTGGAGGAGCAGCTGCTGCCTCTTCTTGTGCTTGTTTGATGATTTCTTTGCGTTCCTCCCACTGTTGTTCCAGTTTGGCTTGTTGCTCCTGGGCCACCTGCTGCAGGTTCACGCCTGATCCTCCTGCTCTGGTCGTTTTTCTCTCCGATTTCTTCCCTTTCCCTACACTCTTGTCAGCTAAAGTGAAAGTGAACAGTTTATTGTTTGAATTGGAAATTTTTCAAATGGTTTATCTCATGATTAACACTAGAACAGCCAGAGCAGTCAATTTGACAGCTTTTAGTTTTCAGAATCAGAATTATTAATTTATCATTTTGAGTAACAGGAAGTCGCAAACTAGGATATTGCTTTGGCTCATAGCGCAAACAAGTCTTAAAAGTGAAAATAGAATAAGGCATGCATGAAAGCATGCCTTTAAAGTTACCCATGTATGTACTGAACCTATATCCATAATCAGATCCTCTGCAGATGTGTCCTATAATGTTCAATTAATGATAATAGCTACTTCCGGGTTTACCGCGATCGCTTATTTTGTGCATTAAAACATTATTTTTGTCATTAAAACATTATTTTTGTCATGAAAACGTTAACAAATAATTCTGAAAACCTTCGTGCATTAATGTAATGTACAGTATATGTATAATGTTTTCTCCGATTAACATTTAAATGTGTTGATTGATTGTTACGGAAACGTAGGCGTAGACCAATCAGAAAGGAAGGGGGAAGGAGCTTGGGTCGTTTTTTTTCAAATCATATACAGCACCTTTTTCTGACAAACTCCAGACAATCACTTTAAAGAGAAAATCACATAATAGACTGGAACAAGACAAAAATAGCAGGAACAGAAGAACATACAATACAAAATATGGATACAAGAGACAATTGAAATCGGAAAGCGGGGAGCATGGACCATGAAAAGAGACAAAGGGGCCTTCATCTTAACTCACTTCTGGCCGGAGCGCTCAGTCTGACGGATCTGTTCAATCTGTCAGACTGACCGCATCCGGCAACAATTTCCGATAATTGACACATCACAGTCTACCACCAAAACATGTGTTAATTAAGTAGCTTCTTTACATTTTTCCTCTAATAAGTATTTTTAGATACTTATTAGAGGAAGCTTCTAAGCACTTACGTTCTACAATGAGAAAGGCGTTGCAGCTCTTAATCCCAGCGCAGGCCGAGTATATTCCTTTGTCGACGACCATGCAGTCCTTGATGACGAGTCTGTGAATGAGCTTGTCCTCGGAGACTTCAATATCAAACTTCTCTCCCTGTTCCAGAGGGAGATTTTTTCCAAACCAGTTTATTTTGGAAAATGGATTTGACAAAACACATTCAAAAACGGCATCTTCTCTCTCCATTGCTTTCACTTCTTGGATCTTAACCAAGAAATCCACCATTGGCACTGTAGACACAAAGAGAAAAATGATTTATTAGTGTTTAATGCTACTTCATAGTTGATACATCAGTAATTATATGTGGTCAGAAGATTTACCTTTGAATTCTGTTGAAAACATAGTAACACCTTCCACGTCCAGTTGATACAGTCCAGCGTCGTCAGGCAGCAGGTCCCTCATACTAAATATATATTTTCTTCCCACTTGATTTAGACTGTGCTTCATCTTCTCCCCCAACTCCTTGGTGTATGGGACCATCTCGCCATCCTGCCGTACACCAGACCCTTTGAAGGTTAGTACGACTAGACAGGCTAACTAGACTAAACAGGCTAACTAGACTAAACAGAATTTAGAAATGATATTGTTTATGATTCCTGCTTCTGTCTCTTCCTCACACTCCTCTCCACACGAGTCGTCTTTATACAATAGCCATGCATTATCGAAGATGGCCATGTACCTTGAATAATGGTTGTATATTTTTAATGTGCTGGAAACGGCAGAAAGTTCGTAGTTGGTCTGAAATAGTTGTTGTTTCGTGTTTTACACTGGTTGTTTTTTTTTTTTCTATAAATCCAAATAAAGCCCTCAGCGTTATTCTCTGGACCAGAGCAGAGAAAGTGGTTCAAACCAAGCGGTCCTCCACCTTTGCTGCTGTGACCTGAAGTACTGTTGCACCTAATTACTGTTACAATTACAGTATTTAGAATGATGAATTTATTTGTTTTGTTTGTATGGATGAATGAATTTTTGCTCCTGGATACCTGGATTTCCCATAGTGGGGGGTGTCAAATATACAGTAAATAGATATCTGTCGCCCCTATCACGAAGAAGCCCTTCGTGATAGGGGCGACAGTGGCTCAGCTGGTAGAGCATTGGCCTTTGGGCCTGAAGGTCGTGGGTTCAAGCCCACCATAAGACCTACTTCACGACTCCCACTGATGACTGCTGTCGTTGTGTCCTTGGGCAAGACACTTAACCCCACTTTGCCTGAAGCTCCCACTGAAAGATCTCAGCTCCTGTGGACTCACCACCTGCAGGAGGATCAGTGAGGGGCTGGTGCTAAGTGTACTGGGTGCAGCTCTGACTGCCACCCCCCCAACCCAGAAATGGATTAAGGGGAAGAAAATGGATGGATGGATGGATGGAAGAAGGAACTTGCTTAGTATTCTTTCTAAACCAGTCCTGGTCTCTGCTCGAGGGTTTACCTTGTAGATGAAGATGGAGCTACTTGGTTCCAGCAGATCCATGTCCAACTCAAAAGACGCAGTTCCGTCAACATTGACATTAATTGGTTTGAGGTTGGACAGATTCTTTACAAACTGTTGAACACACACAAACACTTGAAAAAATCTGAAATGAAACTCTCTTTAACATAAATAATAAGACATACTGTGGCCTGTTCTTCCTCTCTCTCTTTCTTCATCTCGTTCAGCTTCTTCAGCATCCAACGGAAGTCAGTGATGCCAAACTCTCTGCAGATGCTTTCATAGTCTTTCTTGTCAGCGCTCATCAGGAGCTCCCAGAACTTAGGGTCTATTTCGCCATCCTTTCTTTCAGTTTGTTCGGATTTTGGACGGATCTTGCTATAAAACATATACAATAATATTTTGTTGTAGAGAAATTATTGCAAATAAATATAGCCACAGTTTAAAAGTACCTTGTTCTTTTAAGGACGGGTGTTATCTTATCCGGGACTTGTTCTGGAGCTTTGTTCTTTTTAAAACCAACTAAGGAGATTCAAAAGTAATTAATATGTTTAATAATGTGCTACTACTCAACTAATCTGTAAAAGATTATTAGATTATAAACTAGTGAAGCACTCAGAGTGACTCAGAGAGGTGGAGTTTAATGTATTAAAAATATTCCTGGCTCTAGACAATGATCCAGATCACCTCCAAAATCTAATCATTGGTTCCTTGTCCCATTTCAGAGAGTAAGTAAGGATTGATATACAGTACTTACCTTCAATTACATTCAGAACAACTGCAACAAAGGCCTGGCCAAACTCATTCACGGCAATACATTTGTACGTATCTGCTTGGTCCGGCTGAACGTTGGGCATCTGTTTCAGGAAAAAACATATGACAGGTCGGTGTTATTTACTGAAAAACTGAAGTATATTCCATTAGCACAAGAGACAGCCCTGTAGTACAAGTGCAGGGCAGTGCATCATCCTGATAATAGCCAGCAATGTAATTTTAGTTTTTTGTTTTCCTAAGATGTAGGAGCACTATGAGAACATTTTTTGTGAACCTTTTGTAGTTGAGTTGCAACTTAATGGTGAAAGTGCCTAAAACCAATTTGGTAGATTTCGGTTCAAGTAGATATAGTCACTCAAAAAATTATCCACCAAATGGTTGAAAAACCATTAAAGGGTCAACACTAGGACCCTGGAATCACTCTGAGCTGTGTACAAACATGTTTTTATACATGTTGACAGTACATACATTCATCCATCAACTAAACAGAGCACAGACTCCCTTATGCATGCACCAAACTTCCTTCTGAGTGGTTCCTATGCCAGTTGAGAGACATGGTCTGGTCATGGGTCTTCCTTGGGCTGTTGTTCCGGTGGGACGTCCCAAACTCCTCCCCCAGAGAGGCGTTATCCATTTATTGAGTTCTTTTTCAAATGCCAATACAACTCATTGCGAACAAGGCATTCTTTTTGACAGAAATGTATGTAGAAATGGTTCAACTGTTTTCCCAGAGTAGTATTAGAGTATAGTTTAGTATATGATAGTATAGTATGAGGGTAGTATAGTATGTTATAGTGGTTAGATTTAAAAACTTGCACTTACACAGTGCCAGTGTCCCTAAGGGAGGTCAATAACATTGCCTTGTAGTAGACATCTTGTCGTGACCTTTTCTAAAATTATAGTATCGATAATGATCATGATGTCACATGAACGTAACCCTATTGCTTACCTCAAAAGTATGCTCGTTAGAATTTGGATCATATTTGGATTGGTATCTTGTTGTATCAGAAACATCTCCATTATTGCGAACCCATGTAACAGTGGGTGTGGGGTCTCCAGTCACAATGGCTTTGAAAAATGCAAACTTCCCTGTGATCAAAGAAACACAATCATAGATACAAGTTGTGTACTGGATGTGAATGTTGCGGTTCACTCACCCTCCTGGATCGTCAGAGCGATTGGCTTCCGAGTGAAGTCTGGGTGGGTCTTTCCCTCTGGCAACGTCTCGATGTACTGCGTGATCATCACCCCAGGGACTCGAGACTTTTTCTTGAACCCCACTGTCACATGATCAACAAAGATAAACATGTCAACACAACCACACAGCTATGGATTTAATTGATTACTGTTTTCAAGTTGACACATACATCACTCACAGTTTCATTCTAATTTTAATACATTAGAATGTATTTTGTTACTGGCAATATTTTTTCCTCCTCACATTTTATGTTAAAATGTGGCCGTTGCATTAAAAGAACCTATACATTATTACACTTGCAAAACAGATATGTAGCGATGTGGCTACATATCCATGCTTGCGTTAATCTGAAGCAGATCTATTTTTCATGCAGTTATGAAAATAAAAATCCATAGCTGTTCCCTGTCGTACCTTCTGTACCACTGCAAATCTCTGCAGCAGGACCTGATAAGGCACATGTCGAATAGCACATGTGACATCACAGCACAGTATTTAATCATTTATGTGATTGCCAAAATTATTACACAAGACACAGAAGTGAAGAATCGTGAACTACTTTGTTTGAACTTGTGATGACCGCAGCCACATTGTGCAGTGTTGAAACAATATTTGAGATGGGACAGTATTTGGAAAAAAAACAACAGTATTTTTCACCAAAATACATGTGGTTCTCAGGTCTCTGGGAGATGGAGGCGTGGCATGTAAGGTGTGTTATTCACCCTCAAACATCAGTTAACATTATTTCACTATATTTGCCAATCAATCATTCCCAAAGTGTGGGGACACACATAGACCATTTACACCTTGTACCAGTAGACTAAAATCTGGACTATAAATATCACTGCATTTTCAATTTATCCAATATTCCAGTTTACTAAACAAGCGCACGCACCATGGACCTTATTGACAACATTAGAACAAATTAGATGTTTCTTTTGACCATAATTGGATTTCACAAGACGAGGATAGACGACAGCCTGAAGGCCATAAAAACCTGGACTGTCACTAAAATTGCATATCTCAGCCCGTTTCCCAGTAGTCATTAAATATTTATCATGACTGCTGTACTGGCACCGATGGCTATAGATATAAGACACTTGATATAAAGTTCTAACTGGCCTTTGCTTTAATGTGCCTTATGAATTTTGAGTATTGCGTTATGAAACCACATGGGTTCAGACTTCTGCACTTACCTTGGCCCGCAGAGGTTCCCTCCGTGACTTTAGATTTACGAAACATCTTGCAAACTTCTATTCATCAACAGACTCAACAAACTGTCAACAATAACAAACATGGAGAGTTACAATTCTAAAATTCTAAAATACATTTGTCATTTATTCAGTCTCAGAATCTGATTTACAGTAATGTATTGCCTTCAAAAGTACCAGGAAAAATAAACAAGGAACACTGCAAAAAGTGAGATTAGTGTAGTTAACTTGATTTCATCACACCTTTTTTTAGCTTTTTTTTTTCCTCATGCAGGCTGAAGATACTTAATATAATATTACTTGTTCTTAGTTTATTTCCTTTCATGTTTTCTTATTTTTTGGAGCCACTTTTTGCAGTAAATTTGCTGAATAATGCAAAAATATGAATGTATTGCACTTTTGTATCAATACAGACTACTATATATGTTTTAAAATTAGAATAGATTCATTAGTTTTGTTTATCTACATACAAATGCACTGTGCTGATTGCCATCTGTAATCCTTAACAAAAGCATACAACCAAACACAAAAAAAGATCAGAAATTGGTTACTAAAATGATGTGTCGTAAGATTTATAGAATAACTCAAAAAGCTTAATTTTGTCTAGTTGTTGTGGTTATTTTGAAAGACAAGATCTCTTCTTATATAATAATTACATACAGTGTAAAATCGGCTGGAATATGACCTGGCGTATCACATTATGTCCTGATTTCATAAATGTCAGACTTGATCGGGACAGTTTTATGATCTGACTCTTCCATGTGCTGCACAGATCAGGCTCGTACATAGCACTCTTTCATTACCCACACAGCGGCTAAACTTAGAATGATAAATGTCACTTTAAAAAATAGACTGTTGAAGTGTGTTGTTGTAATATCCTGCGGTGAGGACTTACAAGATTTACAGCAATGCTAGTGTTTATTTCATAAGCCACTGTTAATGCAAACACAGGCTGCAGTTTCAGATTCAGATCCTTCCTTGATCTTTTGTAGCCATTGTGAGCCCCTTTCCCCTGAATAATAAATGGCCCTAATCCTGATGCATTTACACCTCATTCTGATGCAACTTTACATAAAGGAATTTTCCCCAACTCTATAATTCAAGAAGGCAAACGGTGTTGATCAGAAATAGCCCCTTTACCCCAAGTGCCATGTTACTGTACCTATATCAGACTATGTTTATGCCATGTTGTCACTTATGCATGTACACTATATACTGTATATTTACTCATTTTAAAAGGACAGAGCATAGGCCTTCCAATTAATGTGTCACAATAGTCCATTACCCAGATTAAATTACATTACACTTTTATTTAAAATGTTTAAATCACTTCTCAAAACCCACCTGCTTCACCTTGCCTTTCCTTAATATTGTTCTTCAATGTTTATTTTTGATTGACTGCGGAACCTTCCGCAGTCAACCATTGGTTTTGTATTTCTTTATTCCGTCATTTTTTTTGACACGTTTCACAGCTTTCACATTTTCAACAATTTCCACAAGTTATACATCAAAACGTTCCACATGTTTGGGAGATTATTGCTATTACTTTTGGGACTTCAGCGATTTCCGGTTTTTCCGCAATCGGACAAAAATCTGCATTGAGAATTCTGCAATGCATTTTAATAGGCCCATGCATTTTAATAGGACTTCAGCTCTTTCAGACATTTCTACAGTTTCAATGATTCAACAGTTTCAAGGATTCAACAGTTTCAAGGATTTCAGCAGTTTCAAGATTTCAAGAGTTTCAAGGACTTCAACAGTTTCAAGGACTTCAGCAGTTTCAAGGACTTCAGCAGTTTCAAGGACTTCAGCAGTTTCAAGGACTTCAGTGTAATCATGCAACCTAATAGGGATTTTTCCATGTAAACCAGTATAATGCAACTTAATAGGGATTTTTCCATGTAAACCAGTATAATGCAACTTAATAGGGTTTTTTCATGTAAACCAGTATAATGCAACTTAATAGGGTTTTTTTTCATGTAAACCAGTATAATGCAACTTAATGGGGATTTTTCCATGTAAACCAGTATAATGCAACTTAATAGGGGTTTTTACATGTAAACCAGTATAATGCAACTTAATAGGGTTTTTTCCATGTAAACCAGTATAAGCAACTTAATAGGGTTTTTTCCATGTAAACCAGTACAATGCAACTTAATAGGGATTTTTCCATGTAAACCAGTATAATGCAACTTAATGGGGATTTTTCCATGTAAACCAGTATAATGCAACTTAATGGGGATTTTTCCATGTAAACCAGTATTATGCAACTTAATAGGGATTTTTCCATGTAAACCAGTATAATGCAACTTAATAGGGATTTTTCCATGTAAACCAGTATAATGCAACTTAATAGGGATTTTTCCATGTAAACCAGTATAATGCAACTTAATAGGGATTTTTCCATGTAAACCAGTATAATGCAACTTAATAGGGTTTTTTTCATGTAAACCAGTATAATGCCACTTAATAGGGTTTTTTTCATGTAAACCAGTATAATGCAACTTAATGGGGATTTTTCCATGTAAACCAGTATAATGCAACTTAATATGGGTTTTTACATGTAAACCAGTATAATGCAACTTAATAGGTTTTTTTTTTTACATGTAAACCAGTATAATGGAACTTAATAGGGTTTTTTACATGTAAACCAGTATAATGGAACTTAATAGGGGTTTTTACATGTAAACCAGTATAATGGAACTTAATAGGGGTTTTTACATGTAAACCAGTATAATGCAACTTAATAGGGATTTTTACATGTAAACCAGTATAATGCAACTTAATAGGGATTTTTCCATGTAAACCAGTATAATGCAACTTAATAGGGTTTTTTACATGTAAACCAGTATAATGCAACTTAATGGGGATTTTTCCATGTAAACCAGTATAATGCAACTTAATAGGGGTTTTTACATGTAAACCAGTATAAAGGATAACAGTTTAAAGGATATCAAGAGCTTCAAATACTTCAGGAGTTTCAAAGATGTTTAAAGTATTTTAACAGTTTCAAGGATTTCAAGGATTTTTCAGCTAAATTCCACATTAGATCTGTTCCGCAGTCAATCGCAATGGCTTCAGCCATTGCAAGTTTCTAGTTATGTTTTGTAAAGCGTCTTTGAGTGTCTAAAAAAAAAACTATATAAGCTTGATTTTTTGTTATTATTTATCATTAAGAATGCACTTTCCACCTATGTCTAACGGGACACAGATGTAGATTTGTGGGGCCGTATTCCTCACTTGTGTGTTGTAAAGTTTTGCTGAAACCTTGCACGGGCCACATGACTAACTTTCTGCCACTAAAGCTGGAAGATGGGAAAACAGGAGTGCTACCTGATAGGTCACATGCCACATTCAGTTGAGAAGAGCCACTTGGACATCTTAATGTGCTTGTAAATCATTACTGACATCGTGTCTCCCACACTTGGAGTCTTTCCAACACAGAAATGAATCATCACAGAAAGACGTGTTCTTGGTTGTCTTTGCCTGAACAAATTTTGACACCAAATCACATTGTGGAGAATAAGCTTTCACTCAATGAAGGAGGTTTGCGTTCAGAAGCTGGTAATACTAGTGATAGTGATGTGTTATTTATTCGTAAATAAAAACAAAAAAAATAATTTATTTATTTATTTCAAGCAAACACAGCGCAACATAACAACAAAAACAGACCTATAACGCCATTTTGCTGAAAGGGAGTGGGAAGAAGAGAATTTATTTATTCTCAGCCCATTTTGCATTTACACATTTCTCTGCTGCTAAAAACGTATAACTATGAAAAAAAATAATTACCAAAGAGCAAGATTGTATACATTCAAACACGCCATGCTTTTCCTTAGTTAACACAAGTACGTTGTACATTTTAACCTCAATACCTCAATAATGTCTATCATGCATGTAGATGCAACTAAAACACATTTACTTAAATAAAGTGTGTATTTGCATATTCATTCCATAATATGTCCTTACAAGCTTTTTTAACTCCTCTTTAAGATGGCTCAGTGTACTCATTTTCTCTCTCGTGGCCTCTTTGCGATAAGAGTTGTGTTTTATGGGTTTCATGTGGCCTTCAGTGCATGCTACAGTTAACTCTAGCAGCTGTGTTTTTGACCAGAGCAGAAATATGGTGTGGGACAGTATGCCCTGAGACGGAGCTGGAGAGCATCATAAAAATGATTAAAAGGGGGACCCTGCTCAGGCCATGTCCAGAAAGGGAGTGGTTAGCTCGGGTAACTGACGTGGATGCAAGACTTGCCGGATAGCACCGTGACTTTATATAACTTACCACCAAACGGCATTCCTCAAACGTGTGCTTTTGGGTTCATCTGTGTTGTGGTTTTTCCTGGATATTTAGTTTGTCATTAAACTCTCTTTTTGCATTAGACACAAGAAAGACTGCAAAGAGTGATGAAAAGTATTGGTCAAAAATTGATCAAATTAAATGTATCTTAATTTGAGCTTATTTTGGATTGCCTTAAATAAGATTGCCCAACTGGACAAATCAAAATGATCTTGTTTTAAAAAGATAGAAGAAATGTCTCCCTTTAAATAAGAAAATAAAGCAACATTCTTCATCATTCAAAATTACCTTAATTAATGTTTAAACAAAAAATGAGCAACATTTCAGGCTGAGAAATTACATATCCATGGCAAGAAGCAAGTATTGGACCTCTTCACAAAAAGTAATAGTTGAGGAATGCAAATTTAACCTCTTTCTTTGAGCCATAACTTATTCTGCTTCTAAAACCTACCCACTCAATCTTATGTCAAGGGCCAAATTGTTGATACATGAAAGCTAAACGAGTTACACAGTAGAAACAGTAAGATACATTTTCAGCTTAATCAGACCAGGATGGAGATGCTGGCCTTACCTCGATCCGTGCTCCTGGAGCTGGTGCCTCTCCCCAGTCGCCTCTGCGTGTGTGTGAGTGCCTCCTCCCTCGTGCACAACCCATGAAGTCCTCAGAGCCACTGCACAAGATCCTTTCACCTTTAGACGGCTGTGTGGAGGACTTTTTTTGTTTTTGGGCTTAAACCAAAAAGGTTACTGTAAGTGGGAGGAGGGCAGCTTTCCCTCATGTTACAAGAGGAGTGACTTAGCTTCTTGAAATGTGTGGCTGTGTAAGCCATCACTGCAATAATACCTTTAGCCAGTGCAATTTAATGTATACCTTTAACCAGTGCAATTTAATGTATACCTTTTACCAGTGCATTTTGATTAATACCTTTAACCAGTTCATTTTGATTAATACCTTTAACCAGTGCATTTTCATTAATACCTTTAGCCAGTGCAATTGAATGAATCTAATCAACTCCATTGTGATTGCACAGTGCTATGCATTATTCACGGATCAGTGGTATTCCTGAGTCACACTCTTTTCAATAGAGTGTATTGAAATGAGTGTGACTCAGGAATAAAGTTATTATTCTAAACAACCTTTGGAATTCAGAAACAATATTTCATGACAGTTTGACCCAGATGACCTTAAAGTAAACAACATTTAGACTTTTGGACTAATCTTAAACAGTTTTAGGTAAATATATGTTTGTGTGTTCAAATAACATCTCAAGAAAAATACCTGTGCTTTGGTTTGTTAAAGAGCAGCCAACAATTGATCAATTATGGATCAATTAGTTACTATTAATTGATAACAATCATTGCAGCTGTGATTAAAATGTATTTTCTATATTTCTAGAGAACTGCAAGTGAGGGCATCAGGATCAAATCATATTTTTCCTTCAAAGACATGAAGAAAAATGATTCAAGGAGGAATTAGCCGTATAACATAGGAAGAGAGGACTGGATATAAATACAATGAAATGCAATATTCACCGTTCCACTGTCTTCTCCATGTTTCGTCTATAACTATCACTAACATGTATAAAGTACACCTTTACCTTATAAATATTGTTGTGTTGCTTCCTGTTGACAGTATTTGCTTTTACACTTACTCTGTAAGATCCTCAAAGCTGTTCTATTGTTAAGAAGCTGTTATAGGTTGTGTTCACGCCGGCCCAAAAATACATGTGTTTATAGGGTGTGTTAACAGGAATAGAAAGTGCAAACATTATCCATCTAAAGAACTGTTGACTCCATTGAGTTACTAATCACATTCACTTTGAAGGATTTTTTCTCCTTTTTTTCTTTTTAATCATTTCCTCTTAGCTACAGTTCAGCATTTGTTCACCTTTCCGTAAAAGTAATTTGGTATTTTTCCAATGAGATTAATGAACAATAATTGTAATATGTGCATCAATAACAACCACTTATTTTCTGTTATTGACTTTTGACTACCTGAAACCAATTTAAATGTAAATTATGTTTTTCCCTTAAACTTTGTCAGTAAATCTTAATCACTGGAGAAAGCCATGTTGCACATATCTGTGGGTGACTGATTGTGAAGCCAGGACAATTTAATGTGTGATTTCACACACTGTACAGAAGTGAAGGGAGTAAGCTGTGACTTCATTATTATTATTATTATTATTATTATTATGATTATGCCTTAAGGACACAATATAATACTGTCCATAGGGAAAAACGATCAAATACAATACATCCAGCATATTGTATACAGAAAAATAAATCTGTACATAAATAAACAAAAGAAAGACAATTACTGCTGCTATTCTTCTACCATTTTAACTACTTTTATGGTCTACATTTATCCCTGTTCAGATCCAGACAATTTCATATTTAGGAAGGGCCTCCACTGCCCAGCTCAGCCCACTCAATGAGTTATGTTCTTGCTACAATTAATATAATTAATAATTAATTGTGAATTTTATTTGGGCAAGAATCATCATTTCTGTGGTTGACGAGGAGGTATTTATAAATATATTTATGGACTTTATCAACATATATGGGCATTGCTCCAAATAAAACAGTTTAAACATAAGAAAAGCAACAATAAAATACACATAAAGCTATTGGTCCATAAGGACCAATAGTATTTTATTTTATAAGTCCTCCAAGATAACTATTCTTCAAAAAGTGAAAAAATAAAATAAAAATAAAACTTAATATTCCCATTAGGGAACTTTTTGATTAACCTAAAACACGATTTGCCAATGGGACAAGATAAATTATCTTATTTTCAAAAGATACAAGAAATGTCTCCCTTGGAATGCAATTTTTTTTTTTTTTATTAGACAAAACGCCTTGTTGCATTGACAAATCTTATTTTAAGATGGTCAGAAATAAGAGAATAAATACTTGATTCAAGCCTTGCCTCCTATTGTATAGCTTTTGTAGTGTACTCTTGTGACTTAGGGCTGTACAAGAATACATTTAATTTAATGGTTTCTTTTTTTTGTTTTTGTCAGTCGGTAACAGAACCAGCTGGCATAGCAGATGTATCAGCAACTTTTTGACTAGGTGAAAAAGGACCAGTCATGCTTTTGGTCTTCATATCGAGTATCTAAAGTCTGAATTGTGGTTAGCTCTCTGTGGTTAGCTTCCTTCCACAGTGGCTTCAGAGCACGGACAGAGTGTGGTGATAAAAGTGAACGCATGGCACAGGAGGCGGGCTGCAGCATGAGCTCATGTGAACGGCTTTATGTTTCCTGAAGAATGCACTCTCAGGCTTCACTTCTGTTGATGGGCTGCATTTTACTGTCCATGTAAGAATGTTAGACCCCACTACCAACAAACTGCTTTCTCTAAGTGTTCCCCAAATTTAGAAACATGGCCTACATTGCAAAATATGATACAATAATTTCTTGAATTGATTGGTTTTTATCTTAATTTGAGTACATTCTTACTATCTTAAAACAAGATTTGCCAATGGAACAAGCTATTTAGTTAATATTTGAATAGATATTTAAACATGTCCTTTTTCTTGCATGTTTTAGCATTACTCTCCTTTGCAGTCAGGGAGAAATTTAATCCCATTTAACAATCCATTCACCAGCTTCTATGAATGTTAAGAAGCATAATAGACAAACTCAATAAATGCTTGTGTCTGGCCTGGGTCTGGTGTAAACTCAGCACTGTTTTTAAAAGCCACGTGTAACTACAGATTTATATACAGCATCTTTTACAGTAAGCTTTAAACGTCTGACTGTCATTATAAGGAAAAGCCTAACTGTAATATGTTCTGCCTCCTCATGTCATTGAGGCTCACACATGATTCAGAATTTAACAATGTTTGCTTTTTATAAATATTTAATTGACAGAGATAATGATGCATACATACATATTTACAACACGTTTTTAAATTTGACTGAATGACCCAGAACATTGATACAAGAATCTAATATATGACATGGTTCCGTCTTTAAAACTCAAGAATAGCTTTAAAGATAAGTTTATATATATAGGTAATGACTGTAATTTTATCATTGCTATATATATGCTATATGCTCTTGTATTTTTCTTCTTCTTGCGGCTTCCGCCAAATTTTGGCACTTTTCAACTCTTCAACGCTTTCAACAAATTCAACAAATTATACAGTACATCGTTACAAACATTAGCATGGTCTTGCCATCACTAAAGGCAGTGCATCTGGTCTGTTCATTGCAACTGTTGTGTCCATATCAAAATAAATAAATAAATGCAGTACTCATATCGGCATTCGGCGTCGGCAAGTACTTGTATCGGTTTTGAGAAAAGTGGAATCAGTGCATCCCTATATGCTTGACTGCAAAAAATGATAAAATATGGGATAATAATTGCTTGAATCGAGTGGTTGTTTATCCCAATTTGAGTTAATTATGATTAAAACAAATTTAGTCCTATGTTGAGAACTGCTGCTTTATTTTCTCATTTCATGGGAGACATTTATTGTATCTTTTTAAAACAAGATAATTTTACTGTGTCCTGTTGGCAATTCCAGTTTTAAGCAGGCAGTCAGAATGTGCTGAAATTAAGAGACACTTAGCCACATTTGAGCATGTTTTTTACTTATTTTTCATCACTTTTTGCGATGTAACTGGATATTTGTGAAATAATTTAAACAATATACAACACATAATTCAAACAGACTACACTTTATTTGAGCACAAGCTGCTATTCGGCAAGATTCCTGGATCTTCTCAATCTGAAACACACATGCAGAGATAAAAAATGAAGCAAGTTAACCAAACACAAATTCTTGAACTTTCAACATTTACCCTCAACCACAAGTTTGGTTGAGCACTCCACTTGGCCTAAATCGTTCTCTGCCACGACTGTATACTCTCCGCTGTCTTTGGAGCTGACTTTGAGGATGACCAAGGAGCAGACGCCGCACGTGTTGGAGATGAAGTAGTTGGTGTTGGTGTTGAGGCTGATGTTGTTGCGGTACCAGGTGACGTGGGGTTTGGGGTCCCCAGTCACCGCGCAGCTCATGTAGCACTCGTAGCTTTCTGGACTGCGGTGGGTCTTCAGGGGGACGGTGAACTCCGGAGGGGCCTCAAAACTGCAATCCTTAGACTCCTCGTAGTTCAGGGAGAAGATTTCTGAGAGGGCAGTGAAAAGAAAGACAGTGGTTGATTGTTTTTTTAATGTAACAAACAAGTATTTCTCAGAGATGGTGTTCTATGGAGATGGTCTACCCGGCGATGGGGTGGCTAACACAACAACCGCTAGCAGGTTTATTAGGTTGAGTAAAGGGATCTAATAGGTTGAAATGGGATATCTAATGAATGGATTGTAATGTATCTATGACGAATAACAAGAGTGTAAGGTTAAATAAGGGACAGGGCCGTAAAACAGAGCCAGGCCCTGTCTTGTGTACACATTCGACCAAAAGGAGGAAGACGTCCCACTGCAGCTTCAAAGGAACAGCGAGGTCGGCCGGAGGACTATCATTGATCATGGGGATTACAGATGCCAAAAAGAGCAATAAAGTCACCACGGGGATAAGCACCTCTGTCTCTGCCTGCCTGTAGAGATCAAAGATCACAACCCTGCTCTCGCTCCCAGGACTCCTGCCACCGGACAATCAAAGACTCCACCCGCGGCCCTCTGACGCTCCCTAGCGGACACTGGACGCTACCGCACCCAAGACGAACACTCGAAAAAGGACATTATTCGATGATATTATGATTGATAACCGTTGCAGACCTTACATGTGTGTATCAATGTCAAAGTAATGGAATTCGGTGTGTGTTTGTACATGTGTTATGATCGTCTGTATTAATCCTGTGTGTTCCCATTTTTAACATATCTGTTGTGAGGAGGTCGTCCAAGGAAGACGCCCAAATATGACGTCACGGACGCGCCCACTTTGACCACAACAAAACCAGTCTGCGAGCCAGTAGACTTCCTCTTGTCTTCTCCTGAAATCACCATTCCAACCACCCCGGCCCATCTGCGTCCCACGGCACGTGTCTCCTACTACGGTCGCGCCTGCACGCATCGGGCCTCCTACTCCGCAAAACACACTCTCCTCGGCTCGGGACCTTATGAACTGTTCATCACCAGCCTCTTTTTGTGGCTCTGGACTCTACGCACGCAACCCATTCCGGACTGGGCTGCATACGCGTGAATCAGCAGCTGGACCAACTCGCTGGCTTTGTACCTCCCGCCTGCCCAGACACAGGAACCACGTGGGCCGATTCCCCAACCCAAATCCTTCCTCCATCCTCTACGCTCCTACAAAGTAAGACTGTTCTTGTTGAATGTGTGATTTGAATGAAATGTATACCACTCCTGCTTTAATGTGACCAGAAATCCCCTTCGTTATATTTTTACCTTCATTTTGTAATCAATAAAACCCCTTTTCTTTAACTCAATCCTATCAGAGTCGTGTTGTTAGATCTCGGAATATCCCTGGCCGATTTACGAATTAACTACCTTTTAGATTTATAAGACTGACTCGAGGCAAAAGTTGGTTTGGATCTGTCGTAGACCCTCAAAACGTCTACTGGTGCCCAAAATAAATAAGACAGACCCATTGGTGGAACGGCGAGTTTCTGATCCGGAGACTAGCCGCTCCACACTACTAAATTTATAGCTTACTGTAATATTGTTACCCTACATATATGGTGCCCTGTTTGTGAGATCCGCGCACATAGACCAGATTTATCAAACTCGTACTCTGTGATTGATCTGCAATACGCTAACTTTACTGCTGCTCCGCTCAAAGCGCTTCCCCCCACTCCCGCACCCCCTCTGTCCCTGCTACCCCCGTTGCTATAGTGACTTCAAGGACAATCGAGCTCCCCTACGCCCCACGCTTGCGATAAAGCGTCCCGTGCATGCACCAGACTATTAATTTAGTCTCAAAATCCTGGCTTTTCGCGCAGGTACTACGCATCTCCTACAACGTGTCGCCCCGCTTGGCCAGCGGGCAGCGTGGAATGTGAAGCCGCTTCCCTCGGAAGAGAAAGCGCAAAAAAAAAAAAAAAAATATTCTTATAACTCCACTGTACACCGTGTCCAGAACACGGGCGTACGGATCTACTCTGTGTCCCTTTGTGACCCAAGTCACACAGGATTTTAACCGAGTATATCTGTGTAAAAGGCTGTAAATGGCAGCTGTGTGAATGTGATGCTATTATTCTGCTAAAGGTGGCTAACGCTAACTCTGTCTCACTGTCTCTTCTCCTGCTAACCTGCTGTTGTACATACACACACCAAGACTGTACTGCACAATACAGACAAACACCGTCCCACCACTGTGATTACGTGCTTGTGCGAACTGTATAACTCGCTCCAGACTTTCGTTGTATAAACTACTGCTAAAACGTGCCACGCTCGAAAGCTAATGGCTAGCTACCCTCCTTTGTTTTTAGCATACGGCTAACTTCCGGCCCTGGCGCGCTAAAAGCCAGAGCCGCATCCCCACTGCTAATACCATTCTGCTGCATTGTCTACCTGCTGTCTAACAATAACACTACTTACTATACTTCGTACTATCCTACCCCACTCTGATTCTGTGTTCTGACGATCATAAGGCGCCAGCCGTCTCGGCATACCGCTAAACGGGCCGCACCTCTTTTATTGTCTAACACAAAATTGCTTTCCGGTCCCGGCACTACTTCCGGGACCACATTGCTGCTGTCTTGACACTTCATTCTGCACCACGTCTTTAATCATCTGTGAATGTGGCTCTAACGTGAAACGGCTTTGCTATACCTCCGTGCTGTTTTGTTACTCCAACTCAATAACCACATTACTGCCACACATTGGTAAAGCTAACACTCTATTTCTGTTTCTCCTCTTTAACGTCATTGCTACACTACATTACTGCGTTAGCCAAGTTTAATGCTGTAAACTCTGCTCCTTCTACTGCATGTCGCTGGTGAAACGCATTCTATGCTTTATTCCTGCTCACTCACTACTGCTAGTTTACGGTAACACATCTGTGTGGTGATTTAACAAATACTGCACTCCCACACACACACCCCCCCCTTGCCACTGATAATACGCATTATTGTAGTGACCAATCCTATGCCGTGTTTCTGCTTCACGGGTTTCTGCTGCATATCACCTTTGTTTTTAAGTTAGACCACATTACTGCTATACATGAACAGAGGCTACCACTCTGCTTCTGCTTCTCCTCTTAAACATAATTGTTAGGCTACATTACTGCGTTAGCCAAAGTTTCATACTGTAACTCTGCTACTTCTAGCGCATGTTGCTATTAGAACACGTTACTGCTATACATGACAAAAGCTAACACTCTGTTTCTGCTTCTCCTCTTAAACATAATTGTTAGGCTACATTACTGCGTTAGCCAAGGTTAATGCTGTAAACTCTGCTCTCCCTCTGCTGCATGTCACTGGTGAAACGCATTCTACGCTTTATTCCTGCTCACTCACTACTGCTAGTTTACGGTAACACGTCTGTGTGGTGATTTAACTAACACTGCACTCCCACACACCCCGCCCCCCCCCCTCCTTGCCACTGATAATAACACATTGCTGTGGTAACTAATCCTATTCTGTACTCCTGCTCCTGCATGATGCGCGTTATCGTTCAACCACATCGGTGTGTGATCTGACAGATACTGCACTCCCGCCTAGTGGTGAAACTAACACTCTACTCTGCCAAACTCTATGTTTGATTGTACTACATCAAAACTAATACTCTATTTCTAACCCTCACTGTCACTAAAAATCGCATTGTCTTGCCTCAGCCTGCTGCCTTTTTGCTACTGCTTACTTGAGCTGCGTCTAAAGCTACGCCGCGCCACAAACGCAAGTGCGTCACAAACGCAAGTGCGTCACAAACGCAAGTGCGTCCACAAACGCAAGTGCGTCCACAAACGCAAGTGCGTCCACAAACGCAAGTGCGCGACAAACGCAAGTGCGCGACAAACGCAAGTGCGTCCACAAACGCAAGTGCGCGACAAACGCAAGTGCGCGACAAACGCAAGTGCGCGACAAACGCAAGTGCGCGACAAACGCAAGTGCGCGACAAACGCAAGTGCGCGACAAACGCAAGTGCGCGACAAACGCAAGTGCGCGACAAACGCAAGTGCGCGAACAAACGCAAGTGCGCGAACAAACGCAAGTGCGCGAACAAACGCAAGTGCGCGAACAAACGCAAGTGCGCGACAAACGCAAGTGCGCGACAAACGAGTGCGCGACAAACGCAAGTGCGAGAACAAACGCAAGTGCGAGAACAAACGCAAGTGCGCGACAAACGCAAGTGCGCGACAAACGCAAGTGCGCGACAAACGCAAGTGCGCGAACAAACGCAAGTGCGCGAACAAACGCGAGTGCGCGAACAAACGCAAGTGCGCGAACAAACGCAAGTGCGCGAACAAACGCAAGTGCGCGAACAAACGCAAGTGCGCGAACAAACGCAAGTGCGCGAACAAACGCAAGTGCGCGAACAAACGCAAGTGCGCGAACAAACGCAAGTGCGCGAACAAACGCAAGTGCGCGACAAACGCAAGTGCGCGAACAAACGCGAGTGCGCGAACAAACGCGAGTGCGCGAACAAACGCGAGTGCGCGAACAAACGCGAGTGCGCGAACAAACGCGAGTGCGCGAACAAACGCGAGTGCGAGAACAAACGCGAGTGCGAGAACAAACGCGAGTGCGAGAACAAACGCAGGTGCGAGAACAAACGCAGGTGCATCTCACGCTGCGGACTAACGCCGCGCCCTAATACTGCTGCTGCCGCTGGCGCCACTGCTAACCCTACGTGCGCCAACGCCACTAACCCCAACGCTCTCCGCTGACACACAGGTGAAGAAGTACTAACGCCCGGCCCCTGCCCTAGGCCGCCTACTCGCATACACCGCCACACGGAGAGGACGCTGTAGTCACGGTTTTGACACACACCAAGGTCTACACCACCACACGACCAACAGCTAAACTACCCTCTCTATAGCACTGCTTTCCTCCTTTCCCTCCTCCCACCGTGTCGTACACACACGTTCCAAGTCATACTCGCATACACTCACCCACACAAATATGGAAATCGATAACTTTCTGCGAGACCTCACAGAGAAGTTATTCCCAGGGGGCTACGACACGCTTGAGCACAGCTCACTCTCTGA